CATTTCATTTCGCCACAGCATATATGACGGCCACCATATCAAAAAATAAAGTTGGAAGAACTGCACAACAGAACAATATGAATAATAACCACTATGCAGGTTTGTAAACAGACAATATTCTAAAAGGTGAAACTGATATTTTACAAATACATGGGAACTCAAAAGGTCTGCGTCAGTAGTTAAATAAAAGAGAAGGAATACCAATAATTCGCTTTTCGAACATTTTGTCAACTCATCGTCATCATCAGGAACAACAAAGGACTATGTGGACCCCAACCAGGAAGTCTAAATTCCTCTACATGGCTAACACGAACAATCAAAGACTTCGTGAGTTGAGGTCGTGTTTTACTCTGGCCAACACAAATCCCTTTCCAGCCTGAACCTATTTCAGCTAACATTGCTCGACAAGGCAAACGGTGACTAGACATAGATGACACATATCCGAGACACCGGAGCTGATGAACTTCTCAAGCTCACCAACTAACTTTCCGCTCTTCTAAAAAACTCTACATCTGACTTGTGTACTACTCACCTGGTGACACCAATCTAAGTAGTTGTGTCAAAGTAATTTACATACTGTTGAATGTTTTTTGTTCTGAAAATTCCTAAGGGCATTCAATGGCCTTACCATGGTCAGAGTAACAGTTTCTTCTCTATCTTAGGAACAACCTTTTTATCTTAAATATCATAATAATCACGTGACCGTAATGATCAACAATAGAGTGTTATTTGTTTCCGATATTTATAAATACGATTGAGTACAACTTTGTTGAATGAAATCGTCGAAAAAGGGAATTTTCTCCACTGTTGCTTCTCCATTGTTATGAGTTGGTGAAGATGTGGAACTGTGAGTATACTCCGATTATCCACTTGTATATAACCCATCGCTCAATGTTGGCGGAAATAGGTCCATGGCAGAAAGACTAAAACGTGGAATCAGTCGCTGAGGTGTTTGACTAGTAGTCTAAGCCGTGTTGGTAAGTGGAGACTCCCCGTTTTAGGTATGCGATACAATAGAAACCAGTGGTTGGAAACTCTAGATGATTACATGACTGAGAAGCAATCTCAATGGAGCAGATATATAAACATATTATGGTCGTCTTAATCAATATCCTGAATTTGATAATCCTGTCATTCCTCCTTGTTCCCTAACCATTAATTTCTACCACTACTCACCGATTCTTCCTTACTTTTTCATCTTTCTCCTCGGTGGAGGATCATTACTTGGTGTAGCAACTTGAACCATTGTGAAGTCATGCCTGATTCTATCATGACACTGATTTCAACTGTCTGACTTGTGTATAAGATATTTCTTGAAAGAATACAACTAGATAGTGTACCTTCGGTGTAAATTACAGTTTGCAAATATTTTATTTCTACGAAATTAACAAATCGAGAGAAAACTTCACTTCTCTCAGTAACTAAATCCAAACTTGTGGACTAAACAATGAAACACACACCTAATATGTGACGACAAATGATGCCTACCGCCTTCTTGGCTGCTCAGACCTCGATTGGTGGATCGGGGTTCTAACCCATGACCCACCGGTCGGAAGACAAATAAAAACGTGTTTATACATATGGAACTTACACTATCAAAAGCTACATTAACGTCGAGTAGATTTATTTTGTCATACACTACCAGTATAATCGACACCATACATTCTTCAATTGATACAGAAGCATTAATTAACGAAATCACTGTAGCGACAGTGTGTGATGCAGCTAACCCACTGGCTAACACACTTGTTCCATTTTGATAGCCTCTACATTAACAGGTGGATATTGATATTATCATCGATCACTTGCATTGTACCCACTCTACCGCCAGTTAAATGTTTCTGTGTTGACACACAAGAGAAGATAATGAGTTGAACAAAGTTTAAGTGAAGAAGAATCTAAGCCATTTAATACCCCAATATACTACTAAACAGCATAAGTAGTTGGGAGGCTGATCGGTAGATTTCCCTAGCCAGATCAGAGTGATTTACCCTTCGGATAGCTGTTTCGCTTATCAGAAGTGGTGTACCTGGACGAATCCAACTCACATAGTCAGCGCCGGATTGCTTGCACCGACGGAATCTGGCTATCTGATTTAGATGAACCGGTACACCACTAAATAGGCAACCTCGTTGGCACGATAGTCGGATGGCGGTTGAAAAGCAAGTTTCCGTCCACTGAAATATATTAAATTTATACCTCTATGATATTGTTGTAGGGGTGAAGAAAGTATTTGTTTAACTGCCCCTAGCAGTAGAATCAAGGATATGGATTTCGCCTGATATAAGACTTATCAGCCGAAAATACCTCAATCCCACAAGGACTTGGGAGAACCGGTCTCAAAATGGGTCAAAAATGGAAAATGGACGGTAAATCAGTTCAAAAATTAGGGAAATAATACGATGTTCCGGTGAACATTTGTGTTGTCGTGAATATAAAAACAACCAACTGGTCCTGGATGCAACGTTCAGCCCCCTTGGCTACAGCTTTCAATGTAAGTATGGATTTAATGTCGAATGAGGCTTCATGAACAGTTTGACGAAGAGGTGAGAAAAATTTGTGGAAAGATGTTTGTAACAGTTACACCTCTAGGAGCAGGATGCAGTGAGCACTATGGTGACCAGCACAGAGTACAACTTATTGGCTGATGTTTCCAGTACAATCTGCCACTCATTATCAAACCAAAGTAGCCTTACGACTTTCCAATTTCACTTCTATAGTTCACCATTTCTTAATTTTTTTTTACCTTTTAATAGTTATAAACGTTTCTAGGTATCTCCAATATGTGATGAAACACTCCTGTTATATGATGCTTAGATACTAGGGTTGATAGAAAACCAACGTATTCGAATAGATAGTTGGATTTCATATCTGTCAAGATGGGCTTGATAAAATGTTTAAGTTATCGGACTAGGAGTTTGACTAGTAAGTCAGAAAGCTTAAATATGAAAATAGAATACACCACACAAGTACACATAGGAACACGTGAAATGTTTGTTTGAATTCCATAAAAAAAATCTTTAAAAACATTGTTTGAGTCAACTGAAATCCATCAAGTCTTCAAGGCTAGGACTTCGAATGCATTTCCTTTCACTCTGATACAGATAAGCTGGAATACGTTCTCGTATACGTGTTGACAGCATATATGACCTGTGCAAGTTAAAGCAGCGATATACCACTTGACACCATGAATAATAAGTAGTCCTTTTTCACTGTCTTGTACAAATCTTAGATCAACTGGAATCAATTACGTGATGATTGAAGGTGAAATGAAAACTTAAGCTGCGTCACGATTCGAACCAGCAGTTACTCCTCCCATCCATCTAGTAACTGAGTAATGAGACTCAGTTGGTGACCAAGTGTCACTTTAACATCACTACAATCACCACGGTATGTTTTGTCTAGTTGCTATGCAGGAAAATCGCAGACAATCTCTCACTGTTATGATACATTCCTTGAAACCACAAATTTTGTTTAACTGATCAAAATCGTTCTTAATTTCATTTTGCTGATCTTTTTACACCACTATGCACAATCCTAATCCTTAAGGATGTCGATTTTTTTCTTCTCTCCTTTTCTCACTATTTATATCGATACACTAGGTCTCTCCAGATATTCAGTGCAAGTGGGTCATACTATACATTGATAGAGTATTACTTTATGAATTAATTGCATAACAACTTCAATTTCATTGCTCTACATTCTGTCAACTACAGAAGTTTATCATTAGTTTTCGTGAGTTGAAAACAAATTACACAGAAATGCCTGCGGAATAGGTGAGAAACTGTGTACCGAGACAGGTAGTGAACAATTCAGATGGACAGAAGTTCAGTGAGGGCCAATCACCTTCCAGTATACGCTGACCAATCAGAATCCGGGATAAGTAATTATAAAGGGAAGTGGTGCTTTATTCTTCTGCTCTATCCCTTATCCACTGAAAATATCCTTTCTTTGTAATTCGGTAGTAAATGGACGTAAACGAATGACCTCGAATGCAGCATCTTGAATCTGAGTGGTCGACCTCGAGATTTCGCATCACTAAAGTTTAGCTCTACCGAAATAAAGCATGAATTAAAAAAGTAAACGGCAGTATTGGACCTTATAGCAGTATCTGTCAATAAAACGAGAGTATAGTAAATGAACCAGTCTGCTAAAGGGTATGTTCGAACACTCCTGGTTGTTTTACGGCATACAATGAATTATCTGCATCCATTCCTGCACCACCAGGGATTTCATCCACTTATATGTCATCCTATGTCTACGTAGATATGGCAAGGCATACACTATTCTCTGCATTCAATGACAGTCATTATGTCGGCTAAAGACATTGACAAGACATAGTTCCTCTGTGCATTTTTAGAGCGTTTGAGATGTGCCTACTAACACACGAAAACATATTGTTACTCTATGACTGACCACTTCATTTGCTTGAGAAGTTGGATCAGCACTGACAGGTAAGAAATCGATGAAATCTCTATGCGGATACAAAACGCTTTATTGACTTTTGAAAAATTACTTCACCCAAGTCACAGCTGTTTACAATGAATCTCCTGCATTGCAGTTCGCTCTCTTTTGCAATATAATTGCATACAATGGCCAATAAAGGCGGAAAATATGAGAAGTATTCAGCTACCATTGTCTTTCTAGGCATGGACTGTGATACCACGACGTCAGTAATGCAGAATCCAGGCATAGAATTTTAGACCGAAAATGTATGCCAGTTGAATATCGGTCTCAAAAGTGTAAGAATGTCAGCTTATCAATCGGGGTCAGAGTGACAATTGAAATTGATGAACACAGACTGTCGATGATATCCCTCACCATGTTTTGAGCACATTATTTCTTTGTCTTGTTCCCTTTTTATATTGCGGTGTTCATATGAGATGGGGACAATTTTGATCGTTGTGCAGCAATCCTAGGTCGTACGTTAACACTGACGAACACGAATCATTAACCAATTGCCCATTCTATTTCATGTTATCGTTGTTACATATTTTTCGTCAACACCAAAAAAAGTACAGCTGATTAAGAAATATAATTTTTTTCAGATAAATGAGTAAAAACATAGGAAATAAGAAAATAACATTCCCCGAGTTTAAAGAAAACGAACAATTCATTGAAGTTTCAGCATACGAATTTCGTCCATTTGAAAATCGCGCCTGTAAAAATCAGAAAAAACAAAAGATAAACAGAATTTTTTATGAATGGTCACTTTTTATATAACATGTGGTTGACAAATGTCATTACTAGCAAACTGAAATTACCGACAACATTGAGATATCTGAACGGGAAACCAATAATTGTAAAACAATTCACTTCAATCACAACGACACAAAATTACTGTTGGAAGGCTCCAGTTAGCATTAAACATTGTTATTGGGCGACTTTAAACGATACCCCGACAACTGCTAAGGTAACCAATCGCGCCTTTATATTTTATGAAAAACTACCTTTATAGCCGGAATACTAAAAAAAACCTGATTGGTTATTACAACAGTTGCAAGACTGGTTTGTAAAATGGTCCCTGTTATCGATCCGGACAATTTTTTTTTAAATTGTCATCATGCCATTTTTTTTACAGAATATAACCCGCGCTGATTAGTTAATCCTTACTCCTACTATGTTAATGCCTCAATTTGCGGACAAGGTCGTATCTCGTGTGTAGACATACGTGTTTTTGAATTAATCAATTGATTATTATTCTCGGAAGAATAAACTCTCCCATCCAGCTTCAGTTTTCCTTATTTATCCTGGGTTGCAGTCGGTGGCTCTTGCATACGAAGTTAGTTGTCAGTTAAGCGTGCGTATTAAATCCGCTCGGAATATATAGCAAGTATAAACTATAACAACATCATAAAAACTGCATCCATCCCACAGCAACCTAGTGGATGACACTACGGTGTTTCAACTGTTGAGTGCAGCCAAGACGAAAAGCATGTCGTGGATTCACTACCAACCACTATCGATCATTAGCATTAAAATGGACTGAATGCTCATGAAGTACATTTGAGAATGTGTACCACAAATATTTCATGCCTAATTCACAGAATTCTGGCTTTGTACATCGGTGATAAACTAGAAAAAAGACTTGTTTAGCGTTGCCAAGTTGCGTCACCCGTCGCCACGATTGGAGAGATATCCGACTATCTATCAACCAGGATGTTTTGCTAAAGTCCGTCCTATCCTGTTGCACGACTGTGAGACATGCCCGTTAGAAGCAGAAGACATGAAGTGATTACAGGGTTTTGATCACAAATGTCTTCTCAGGATTGTTCACGTGTGGTGGAATCACCAAGTGGCTAGACCAAGACCTTGCACCAGTCCACGAAGTCACTGACTGTCGGTCTGAGTTATATACTGCGAAGTAGACTTCCTGGCTAGGGTAGTCGAGATGACAGTGGTCAGTGGTTGACACGGGTGAAAATCGGTATTCACTCCTTTGACACCTTGTTAAGACTGAATAGTCCCAGTAACCTATATCTTCATTTTGTTTGTTTCTCACTCATCTTTATTTACTTTGATGTCAGTTTTCTTCGATCCATCTGTTCCTTTTGTACACCTATGAAGTATAGCGAAATAAGCAGAGGTTCTACGTCAACTTTGTATGTATGTATGTATGTATGTATGTATGTATGTATGTATGTATGTATGTATGTATGTATGTATGTATGTATGTATGTATGTATGTATGTATGTATGTATGTATGTATGTATGTATGTATGTATGTATGTATGTATGTATGTATGTATGTATGTATGTATGTATGTATGTATGTATGTATGTATGTATGTATGTATGTATGTATGTATGTATGTATGTATGTATGTATGTATGTATGTATGTATGTATGTATGTATGTATGTATGTATGTATGTATGTATGTATGTATGTATGTATGTATGTATGTATGTATGTATGTATGTATGTATGTATGTATGTATGTATGTATGTATGTATGTATGTATGTATGTATGTATGTATGTATGTATGTATGTATGTATGTATGTATGTATGTATGTATGTATGTATGTATGTATGTATGTATGTATGTATGTATGTATGTATGTATGTATGTATGTATGTATGTATGTATGTATGTATGTATGTATGTATGTATGTATGTATGTATGTATGTATGTATGTATGTATGTATGTATGTATGTATGTATGTATGTATGTATGTATGTATGTATGTATGTATGTATGTATGTATGTATGTATGTATGTATGTATGTATGTATGTATGTATGTATGTATGTATGTATGTATGTATGTATGTATGTATGTATGTATGTATGTATGTATGTATGTATGTATGTATGTATGTATGTATGTATGTATGTATGTAGATAACTCTTGTAGAACCAAATGAAATCAACATGCTCTCAGTAACCTTGTAGAAATTTATGTAAGGGTTACGATACACTAACATCTGGCTGACCAAAACTTCGGTAGGTGGTGCAGTGTTCGGACCCTATTACCTAAGAGTCAACTCCTTGAACCGATGAGTCACAGTTCCTAACCCTTATGAAACTGTCTACCACTTAGTGCCAAGGTGCTGACCAAAGTCAATGGATCAAGTTTTACAATGTGGTTAGGTTACTCACCAATGGTGACCAGTTGTTGGAAACAATCACATCTTGAGCATGTCTACATCATTACATGATATTTTGCAGTCATTTCGATTCCCAACAGTTACCTTATTTCGCGATATTATTCTCCTGTCTCTACTGGGCTTAATGACCTAAACTGTGTTGATATTCTGTTGTAATGTGTTCTTGTAGATATTCTAGCCTGTAAGCAGCTGATGAGGACCATAAAGGTCGAACTTCTACAATAGAACCATATTGTTCTGCTTCAATGTTTGCGTTTGATCTTTTAAAGTTGATAAAGATCTTGATGTGTTTGCTAGGTGTGAGCTGTGAGAAATGACTGACAAAAAAATGCTTGGTAGAGGCTTGAAAATTATCACCAATTTTGTCACTTTCATGTTTAAAAGGCAATTTTCCCAAAACTGACACAAATCATATTGATTATCAATTTGACTATCTGATACCGATTGATAATTAAAGGTGAAATGAAACGGCAGTTTGGCAAAATGTGTCGGTGATTGAAAGGAAATTCAGACAGCTACCAGATGAGTAGTAGTAGCTGGACCATCGTACTCAGTTGGTAGTATACCACCACTGGGATGTTAACCTAGAGGGTGTTGTTGCTAGTTCAAAATCCTAGCATAGCACAGATTTTCATTCCAACTTTAATCATGCAGTGTATCAATAAATTACTTTCAAATTAATTATTAGACGAAAGTTCACCTCATCTACACCTCTAAGTTACAGTAACAAGGAATTTTCTTCAATATAACAACACAATCATGCAACACATAAAGTCAGCTATGTAGAAACATCTCTCAAAAGAACGAAGATAGACCCACTGCAGTACATCAACATTATAGAGAGAAAGAAGCTATTTAATGACTGTCCCAGAAGAACGGCTATCATAGCAACTTCATTATTTTTTTAAAAACATGATTGTGAAATTCACCTGTTAGCTGAAAAGTCATCTGTAGTAAGAAGAATGTCTTCAAGATGACAACTAGATTACTTACAAAACAACACAATGTCTTCTACTTCAAACTATACAATAGATCAAAGAATACAATAGTGTAGAAAGACAAATTCACTGTTATCTACAAAATAAACTAGAGAAACTGTGAAAAACACTGCATCAGATAAAGTAGTGAACCATTTTGCTTCCGGTTACATGAATATCAAGTAGTAGGGAAGCACCTTCACTCAGGTCAGTGCATTAGAGGAAATTGTGGACATTATTAGCCCTTGGGTTCCTAATGGAACATAGAGCTTCAGTAGCACGTCTCCATTGAACTCTGTTCTCTGAAATCTTTTCAACCTGGCTCCACAACAGCCCAGAAGCCCTCATTTCCTCCTTGCACGATCTCCTCCATGTCACTCTCGGACGTCCAACTCATCGCTTCCCATGGGGAAAATTGTGGACATAAATTCAACTAAAGAAATATGGAATTACTGGATAGAGGAAATACAAAGACTATCAGAGAATTTTTACGTGGGTTAGTCACTGATCAATAGACAAATTGATAATGACTTGATCTATTAACCAATAAGAAACATAAAAAACACGAAGAAGGTCAGAGTTGACGTCAGTAGGACAGTCAATTAATACAGACATGGAGATAATGACAAATCTTTAGCGGAAACAACTAATCATATCCAAAGTCTCCAAGGAAGGCTACTTAGCTATTTGAGGAGAAATATCACCTCTTTCTGAAATTTATGCTGTTGCCGATGATGTTCTCTAGAATGACAATAATGAAAGGTTCCCAATTGAAGTATTCAGCCCACAAGGGATACAACATTATCAAACTATGCATATACATATATGAGAGAGAGACAGATAGACAAATAGACAGAAGTAGTATATGAAACTTATACCTTAAGAAAGAATACTTCTAACTTCATGCGCAGTAAGCCGCCAGTTTGAACTGTTCCAGTAATAGTGAACTTCTTCAACCTAGAAAAAAGACATAGCGCAAAAGAATGTAACTGCTACAGACAACAACAATAATAACAAAGAACAGTGCTCAGATTGATGATATACACTTAGTAAATTTAGAAGTGAGGCTGTGGCTAGATCGGAGAAGGCAATGAACTTTCAACAAGTGGACCACGGTTTGGAACTCCCGCAGCCCCAATCGAGGTTTGGCCTATGACTATAAGAAAGACACTTTATTCGACATAAATATATCATTCATATGTAACAGTTTTCGTGAATATATAAAGTCACTAGGTCAAAAGTTAAATTAACTTATTTTGATTGGTCAATAGTAGGATAAAATTATCCAATACGGTTTTTCTTTACTACACAGTGGCATAAAACAAAAATCGAAATACAATCACTTCTGCCTTATCGGTTGATGAATGTTAAAATGTTGAGTTTCATTTCAAACGCCCTTTATTGGGCAGTTTCAATGTCAATTCTTTAGTAAGTAAAATATTCTTAGTAGTGAAAAAGCTAACACAATACGATATGGCAAGAAACAATTTGGAATATACTCAGTAACTACATGGACCCTCGTGCTATAGACAATAAGCTACATATCTTTTGTGTGAGGGAGTGATGATGATGAGACCTAGTTGTCAAAGCCTCAATATCTTCATAGATTATCTCAAACAAATCCGGCTGAGGTCTAGTCATCGAAAGAACAACCTATTTTCACCATAAGTACGTTGATGACACCTTTGTTGTTTCCAATGATATGAAAAATGAAAGTTTAATGAAGCATACATCACAACAACGATGGCATATGAGCATGAAAATCAGTTCAGTTTCTTAGACCTCAACGTAAATAGATTAATCTAAGGTTACATTAAAAAAAAAGCACTATTCATAGAATCAGAAAATACCTTAACTACAACAGTATCAGCTAGTCAAAACACTTTACACCAAAACTAGAAACTAATATTCTCTAAACAAGTTTGATGAAGAACTAAGAATTACTGTAAAGCAATTTTAGACAGAATTGATATCCTAAATGGTTTATTTTAAAGTATGAAAAGAACAGATCGAGGGAACTAACCAATCAACTGTTGAAAAGAAGACTTTTATTCATCTTACATACATCTTACATTCAAGAGAGATACAATATTGAAAAGAATAGACACGAGAATCAAAGGAGTACTGAAAAGGAGCTAACATGAAGTTAAACTTGTATAAGTTTACAGTACCGTATACTCATTGAATCAGTTCAAATGGGATAAATTCCCTACTCATGTCACCTATAATTGCATCCATTTAGGGTAACAAGTATGTTGAAAGCAGTGAGAAGATGGTCACCAGTCAGTTTAGTGCAATTAGTAGACACTTCATAGATACAGAATATCTAATTGATACCTCAAGTCTTTTTAAAATAATAACAAATGTACACAGAATGTCTGAACTACTAGGGATCACAGAAGTGATTGTTATAAAACGCTTTCCGCATACAGAAGGTGAGTGTAGTCAATCTCTTACTCCCATGATGACTTTAATCTGATCTTGTTTCATGTTACTTACATAATCATTTATTGCACTCATCTTCTGATTTCTACTGGAAATATACTCAGTTTAATGATCAAGAAGGGAAGTGGTGGAATGTGTCGAACAATTCTCTAAACTCATTCACCTGTGGTGCCGACTACCTGTCAAAGGACGAGTATACTGTGCTGCAGTCCATTCTGTACTGCTGTAGAACATGACCGTCAAAAGTAAAGACTTGAAGCGATTACAGGGTCTTGATCACAGACATCTTTGAATCACTGTGTGAGCAATGTTGAAGTCAGGAAAAGAGTACTAGGGAAAACAAGTAAGTCAATTAATGACGTTGTGAACCTTAGTCGAGTAGATGTCATGTCACCCCTAAAGTATGTATTGGGTGCTAATTCGATGAAAAAAGTTGACTACCCTCACTAAGATCAATAATAAAGGAAGAAACTCAGTACTGAGTACAACGCATGCTAAATATGCTGAGATTTCTGTTCGATATGCTCAGAAAATCCTGCATTTTGTCAGCGTCTTCACCTAGCAGGACAATATCGTCTGGATACTCAAAGTCAACCACCATATACCATCCAGGGAGTAGGTCAATCCTTGTGAAGTCAGATGCACCTAAGGTTATGGTCCGTGAATACATCTATAAGGAAACTAAACAGAGACAGTAACAGTTGGCTATTTCGCGTGAACACCACTAATTGTCGTCAATTTCAATGACAACTTTTCACATGGCCTGACACAGCTTATCTAGTAGTACTATGCGTCCCAAAACGTGTACGCTTAACACCTAGAAATTCACTGGTTAACTAAGATGTTCCCTCATTATCATCTTCAGATTTTGTACACTACTTGACAGATAGACAGACAGGCAAAATCAATGTAGAATCTCACACACAAGTGTAACATTCCAACTTGCCATACACACATCATAGTAACATGCAAAGAACAACTGGATAGAAAAATACTGAAACTAAGTAGACAAAGGATATTCAAAACATATATCTGCACCATTATGACCAGTTTTCAACCATTTCACCAAGAATCATCACTCATTGATTCCTGGAGTTTCGACGACGCCATCTAGGCAGTCCACATCTCCCTCATATGACTAAGACCAACAGTGAGAGATTTTGTCAACTAGAACCACGTCAATGAAGGCTTACAACTTCATCGATTGACTTTCCTTTCTTGCCTGACCTCACATGGTGATTCCATCAAAAGTAAACCATGCTGTGAAGATACCTGTGATCAAAAACTTGAGAGATAGGATCAACATAGGACCTAGGCATTAGTGCGTAAAAGTGAAAGTTGCCACACTTCAATTCGCCACATCAAGTAACAATGCTACATCAAGATGGAAGATACAAAGAAATAAAGCAGAAAACAGTCAAAAGTTGTAGAAAATTATCGAAAGATAGAGAGAGAGAGAGAGAGAGAGAACACTGAATTAAATACGAAGATTAAAATGAAGATAATCTGTGGATGCATCTCCATCAGTCAGATCGGTTATCAGTCATACCTTTAGTCGCATAACCAACGATTCCGGCTGACAAGCGGACAACACCCCACTTCTCTACACGAGTTAAAGCAAAAGTCAAGGACTTCATATGATAATGCCACGTGTTAGTCTAGCAGCCATTCGAATGTTTGCAGTCTCAGCCTACTTTAGTGACTAGGTGTGCGTAATACATTTCTCAGCCATCTCACTTCCACATCGTCGAAACACCTTTTGTCGATTTCGGCATCATTATTCTTTATGTGTCCATGTTTTTTTGGCATATGGCTGTAAACTATGGCCACTTAGAGTGAAGCACTTCTTTCCAGGATTTTATGTTGATTTATCCGCCTATCCATTAAATTTCCAGCGATATTTAGACTAATAACAAAGTGCATAGAAACGACAAAAGGTACTAATTATATCACAAAGAAAAGAAGCGTTAATTCACCAAAGAATATTTTCCTCTTCGACGATGTCATACTCTGAAGTTGTACAATCATATAAAGGTACACATATCACAAACACCTATCAGTCTTTTATTGAATAAAAGGGTAAAGTTACATCATTAAGCCGGGTAGGAGGTTAGAGTTCTGTTAGACAATCCAAGTGACAAGATAGGCAAGAAGTGTGACAAGGTGAAAATTGCTGGTAGATGTGGTTGTATGTGTTCGCCTGATAGATGTACAGAAGGTGAGGAAAGAAACGGGGGGTGAGGGAAATATAATGAACGTGAGAACACTATAAACTGGTTGATTATGTGGAAGTGTTATGATCATGGTAAGATAAGAGATTGATGAACATACTTCTTCTATGTACGCAAAGATGAGTACTTCAGCTATGCACAACTATCGAAAGTGTACTCCCCTTTTGAGCTGTTCCCATTGTCTGTGTAAATGACACTGAAAGACGGGCTGTAGAGGAGTAAGATGTATGCCCGAAGTTGACCATATATCTAACCATTGAACCGATAATTGATTTGTATTCTCCCCCCGACAACCATGCAGAACAGTGTTCAGAGATATGTGTGGAAAGTGAGCACTTTGTGCGGTTTATGGACACATACTGAAGTAGCAAAATATGGCTATCCATCAGTAACACACCCGGGGACTATTCTTTATTTGAATAGCCTACCACCTAGTTAGCTTTCTGACATCAGTATCGACTAGTGATTTAAGATGGAGTCTTAGCAATAAAATGAAACATTAGAAAATCGAGTAAACGTGAAGACTATGCGCGTAACGCACTTAAATAGTGTCATTTATTGCGATTCTGAATTTTGTCACTCCTTTAAAATGTCAGTCAGTCAATATCAACACTGATGCTTTGGTCCTACTCATCATATCACCACATCAGAGTAAACAGCAGAAACACAGAGGAACGCAAATAAACAAATTAAAAGTTGAAAAAATGACGCCGAAACAAGAAAATAATCAACAGATGTGTTATATGAAGAAGAAACACACAGCAAAATGTGATACAATGAATAGGATGATTGTGACTATGATAATGGTGATAATGAGTAGTGCGCCTGCACCAGTGAGATCAGTTTTCACCAGTAGCATACAAAACATCTAATCTTCAGCTTCACAGCGCATCTCCTGGAAAACAACATCCAGGAAGTCTACGTTCAACAGACGACTGGAAAACCATTAAAAATGTGAGAGCATGAGTATTTCTTTGCAAATCCGACTTGGTTGACTCAATAAGTCCACAGTTTTTCATTACAACTTTATGAAATTCATCTTGAAGTAAGTCAGTAATGAGCGGGAAAAAAATAATCTCATTCAGAGTTTTGACTTTAGGGTGGTATTCATTCCTGGCTAGGTCGTGGGTGAGCACTGCTGACAAGTCGCATAGTAGTAGGAAGAAATAGCCGCTCTGTGCTTCCAGGTATTCAATAGTCCCTCCAACTGATGTCACTCCATCATGAATAATACGTTCACGCTATCTCTTTCAAATTTATGAAAATTATAATACTCTCAACAAAAATAACATTGAACTTACTCGATCCAAATTTAAAAGTCTACAAACCTGTAGACTACGAGTGAAATAATCACGCAGTGAACTGTAGGATATAGACGCCAAGTAGGAGAACAAACTGCGATATTCTTTCTCCAGTTGAACAGCTCCAAACTGTTGTACAACATCACCCCCCCCCAAAAAAAAAGAAAGAAATATTAAATTTCATCTTGAACCTATGCAGGATTACGTAACCCTAAACAAAGAAATATATAGGTGGTATTCAAATTAAGTTAGAGCCTTAGTTGGCGAACATGCCAATGTTACGAAAGAGATACATCGTCATCAGGGCATCATAGCTCTATAAGGAAGTGGAGTGACTGCTTTTTCTATTGCCGGAGTTCAAACTGAATGGTAGGTTGGTGTGTTTGCGCACGTTAGAGACTCGGGTAAAGACAGGTAAATCAACATCTGCGTCATCGTCACCGATTTTCAGCCATGTCACCAACAGTTCTCAACCACTGATTCCTTTCACCTCGAGGACTCCAGTTAGGCAGTCAACATCTCCCCACACGGTTCAAACCAACAGTAAGAGACTTCGTCGACTGGTTCCATGTCTTAGCCTGTCTACCCTGAACCCTCTACCAACCTAATCCAACTTCCCACAGCATGGCAAGTCGAGGTAGACGATGGCTCTGCACGCGCAGCACATGCACAAGCTACCTTAGCCGCTGGTAGACTGACTTGTCTTTCTTGCCTAGTACCATTCACCCGACCTCCCCACTGCTCAAATAGTGATTCCACTATACATGAGCTGCGCTAAAAAGACATCTATGATTAAAACCCTCTAGTCGCTTCATGTCTTCTACTTTTAACCGTCATGTCTTATCTCACTATCGTATAACAGGACAGAATGGACCGCATTGCAGTGATAGGCAATCGGATATCTCACCACTCGACGTCACAGATGACGCAAGTTGGCAACTCAGGTAAAAAAAAACAACCACCCATTAGCAAAAAATCTATGCAAAACCAACTAATTACTTCACCTCCTTTTTAAGCTTTGATGCGCTGATAACGGTTGGACAACTCTCTGAAACCGCAGCTGCTCCTCACACAACAATTCAATCTGAATATGCACATCATATTATGTGAACAATGCAAGAACAAAGACATTTTCAGAATAAAATGAACTTATTTTCATTTTATAATCTTTCAGCAGCTAGCTGCAAACAGCCTATAAATGAAATGCAATACGAGTAGTAGCAGTAACAGTAATAATGACGCAACATATTTTAAATATTTCAAGTTGTTATTCATCGTAGACTGACATCGGTCGGAGGGACAAAAGAAACCTGGGAGCACTGGAAAGCTGTTTTGTCCTAGTATGGGACTCCTCAGCGGTGCGCACCTATGACCCCGCCAGGGGTCGAACCCGCGACCTTCAGGTTCCATGGCCATATATCGTGAGCTGACGGAAGTTGGAAATGTGGACCATTGGATTCTGACCCAGTGGCCCAATGGTAACGTGCTGGTCACGGAACCCAAAGGTCGCGGGTTCGATCCCTGGCGGGGTCGTGCTGAGGAGTCCCATACCAGGACGAAACGGCCATCCAGTGCTCCCAGGTTCCCTTTGTTCCTCCAACTGATGTCAGTCTACGGTGAATAACAACTTGAAATATTCCAAATCACCACAACTACCTCAAAAATCAATATTTTAAATATATAGAAAAACATGGAGATTCGAAATCTAGGATTACCAATAAGTTAGTGAGTGGGTCGAGGAAACATAGGATTAATAATCACAAATCTTAGTCAAAATCAATGGCAATTTATATCTGATGAGATAGAAAATTCTGGAGGTATGGAGTGGGGGGTGGGGACAACAAACAGACAGGGGTGTAAAAGAAGGGGTTGTTTAAGAGCTAGTAGGTTACGCAATTACGTGAAAATGCTGGAAAAGCGTTAGTTGAGTGATTAACAGTCAGTAATACGTAAATATCCAAGACATTACTTGCAGTTACGAGGGTAAAGAAGGCATAATTACCGTCTCTTTCTGAGTACAAAAATGTGTGATGCTGAGAGCTTCCGCGAACCATAATAAACATGGTGTTCTTTGTTTGTTGGTTGATTATCCTGAAGGATTGAGAAACATCTGTTTGATGTCCTGTTTGTATCAAATGCATGAGGAGTGCAATGGTAAAGACTTTGCTATCTTTCAAACACAGATTTTTCGGAACACGCTTACAGTATGGAGTAGATGCGATCTTCTTGGGATCCTTTCTATGGCACTTCCTTTCACAAGTATGTGTGAATTGATATACACAGTTGGAGGTGAATATATCTGGATATTTATATACTTCCGACTAAGTAATTGAGCAGACTGTTGCATTTTAAACTGAGATCAGTCTGGCAAAGGGTATTCGCAGATGATGGAAGGTTGAAGAAATAAAAGTGAGCTCATTTTATTCTAGAAATGTCTTTGTTCTGGCTTTATTCAAATTTGTCAAGAGAATTGATATACGAAGCGGTTTAAATGGAAATCACTATTTCATATCATAAACCAATAAGGTGGGAATTTTTGTATTTCTTACCGCCTGCGTGGTTAGGAAAAACCCTATTGGACAGTTTAGTCCTACAGTTGACCAATCAGAATAAGTCATTTAACTCTTGAACTAGTGGGTTTTATATGTTCGTAAAAACTATTATCATTTTTGTGTTATTATTACTATTAATATTCACTCGGTCACTTCGGGAACTAAAAGTATGGCATATACCATAAAAAGCCCAAGCTATAAGAATATGCTTCACTACCATTTTTTTAAATACATATATGACACAGATTCGATTGTACTTACACGACTGAAAGATTTGCGCTGAACAAGTTGATCCAGTTGGCGTAGAATTTCATTGATTAGGATTAGGACAAATTTATCATTATTTTCAGTTGATAAAACGGCCTGTAAAACAAATAGAAAATGAATAAACAATAATCAAAATGCACTTAGCAACCACTTGCACGCTATTGAAGTAGGTAATGAGCTACAAGTGTTGTGCAAGGATGGCTGCCCATAATACTTCGGCGGATGGAGGCTGTGATCGAACCTGTGGTCGACTGGTGGAAAGTCAAGGGCTTAGACAGATAGGTAACAGACGTTTTTAAGTTGTATTTAAAATAATTTACCACCCATATGAGACAATTCAATGGATTTTTTTAGTGTGTTGAAATGTAAACCTCTTAATCTCTTTCCCAATGACCCATAAAATCTTTGCACGAGGACAAAAATAGGCTCGATTGGCGTTTGTCAACTTACATCGCTTGTGGCACCGCTGTGATACTCGATTGCCTATTAAGGGTGGAGTGTAATTCACTGTAGTTCCCTCTGTCCTACTGCATGGTTGAGAAAAATGACTATTAAAAGTAGATAACAAGAGAAGGCTTCTGGCGTTCGATCACCGTCACCTTTGTAGCATGGGCTGTATTCTATGTTGTCATCACATCAGTAATATAGAGGTCAGGTGTAGAGTTTTAGGGAGGAGAGGAAAGTCAGTTGATGAGGTGTTGAAGCTCCACTGACTCAGACAGTTGAGATATATATCCCGAATGACTACTCATCATATGTCCCGTCTCATGCTATCAGCAGAATTAGTTGAGTAATGCAGAACACACCATGAAAGTGAGTCAATTCAATTCGCTAGACGTCCCAGCAACATGTAAAGAAGAAGGGGTTAGGAAAAGAGTGACATAAAGCACACAAAAGATAAGCGACAATAAGTGACTGTAGGTCAATGAAATTGTACTCGAACACCGTCAAGAATGTCAACTCTCATCGTCTCATTGTACGGGACTGATTTCGCTGCAGGAAGAACCCTTAAGAGATCTAGAGCATACAGAAGCTGACAGAATAGAGTTTTCTGGATACTTTTAGTAGCAATTTGAGAATGTTTGGAATGCGTTTCTCACCACCAAAATGCAAATTTTTACTCCAGGACTAATGTTGATTAACATCTTGTTTAGAAACTGGAGGTGAAATGGTTGACAACATCACTTACCTGGGAAGTCGGATAAGCCCTGGTGGGTGGCTCAGTGATCGACGAAACAAAAAGTTCGAGTGGCTTTCTCCAACTTATGCCACTTATTGTGCCACCAACATATCCAACTGTCTATTTTAAGTCCAGTGTATTGTTTCAGTTTCCCCTCTTCTACTGTATGGCTGTGAAACATGGTTATCAGATTTAGAGGATATGAAAGTATAGGCTTCAGATATTTCGTCACTGTCGCCTTCGTAGCGTAGGCTGTGTGTCACGGAGTCATCAAGTTAAAAATGCAGAAGTCAGGTGTAGATTTTCAAGGAGGGAAGTCAGTTGACGTAGTTGTGAACCTCCATTGACTCAGAACAACTGAGATATGTGTCACACATGCCTAGTCACCGTTTCGCCCATCGCACAGTAATATCTGAAGTAGGTTCAGACTGGAAAAGGGTTACAAGAGGCCAGACTAAAACATGATATCATTGCATGAAATTTTGACTGTAGAAAAGTGTAGACTTCACGGTTGAAGTCCGCGTGACAACAAAAACCAGAGATTGCAGACTCTAGGTAATGATATGGTTCAGAATCGATGTCAGTGGGACAGTTGTATCCCAATATTATCCTCGTTAAACTGAGTTTCAGTACTATTTTATTCTGTTAGTTGGATGGAGGCAATCGGCAGGAATCCCTGTACCTAGGTTTCGTGCTTGTTGGCACTGGTCACTGGAGGGTAACCAACTTCAGACTGTCGAGTACTAAGGGCTGATCGAATTCCATCGATCATTTTGCTATGTGGCTACTAGGCTAGCTGATTCAACTTCGTGACGCACTTTGATAGATATTAGTTGGATGGAGCCAATCGGCAGGAAGCCCTAGCCTTCTTTCGATGATTTTCTGCGACGTCTGACTGTTTCCTTTTTGTTTCTCGATCTTTCATCGCGATTCAGCATTGTCGCTTGATGTAGTGATATTAAGTGTGACAAGTTGGACTGTTACGCCCAGGTCCTATGTTGATATTGTTCGCCTGAAGTTTTCGATCATAGGTGTCTTCGTAGCGTTGCTCGCGCTTGGTGCAGTCATCATCTGGGCAATGCAGAGGTCTGGTGAGGGGTACTAGGCAAGGAAGAAAATTAAGTCGATGCGGTTGTGAATCTTCATCGACGTGACACTGGCCAACGACGTCTCTGACTGCTGGTATGAGTCATGTGCAGAGGCGTAGGCAGCATGCTTGGAGTCTACGAGACAATAGGAAACAGTGATTGAGGACTTTTGGTGGAATGACTGGAAATCGATGACAGTGGTGTAAATGTATTCACTCTTCGGTTTCTTTCAATGCTTGAATGTTTTGACCAACCTTCATTTTTAAATTCCCTCTCCTCACATACACTTTTATCTTCTTTGATATCACTCTTCCACTAGCCACTTATTCTTTGTTTATTACTGTGAAGTGTGGCAATTTGAAGCGATGCACTCCAATGTACGAGTTTCTGTACTGATTTTTCCGTTTGTCTATCAAGTAGTGTTGATGTATTAATATCAGACCCCATGCGACCATTTTGTTGTAGAATTCATAAGTACTTCAGTACATAGACAGGGCATATTTTAAGTACTCACACTCTTTCAAGAGAAACAATCCTGATTAGTACTACTTCTTCTTACTGAATAATAAACATGTATTCAGTATTTACGGATTCATCATCATCATCGGCAATAACAAAGAACCATGTATTATTTCAGAAGGGTCTAAGTTGCCACACCTCATCATATCAGAATATTAAGGTAACAAAGTAATAAAATGGAAGGCGAAGAAATAAAGAGGAATCGGTGAAACGCAGTAGAAAGTTGTAAAAGAGAGGAAGGAAGGGTGAGAAAGTATTAAGTTCAAGCATCTCATCATCTAGAGTCTCCAACCACTGGTTTCTGTCGCTACATGGATGTCAACCGGCTACTCTACATTTCCCTACATCAATGTTTTTATTTTATTTGTCCCTTGGGTTCCTAGTGGAACATAGGACTTCAGTAGTACGTCTCCAGTGCACTCTCTTCTCTGCAGTCTTTTCAACCTGGCTCCACGACTGCCCACAAGCTTTCATTTCTTCCTCACACAATCTCTTTCCTTTCATCCACGGACCCTCGACTAATCGTTTTCCATTTGGGTTCCACTCAAGGGCCTGGCGCGTGATGTCTCCAATCAGTCTTCTCAGTGTATGTCCAGTCCAATCCATCTCCACTTTCTTCTACATAATTGCTGGGCGATGGGTTTTTGGTTGGCTCGTTACCAGCCAGCCAGAGTTCCTTGTTTCTTGTTCTTATTATTCTGGCCATCTGATCTTCAGTGTCAGTATTAAGTGAGCGTAGACGGCAGCTGTTCATGTTGTGTGCAGTTTATTGAAAATGCTTTTAGTAACGCGCTAAGCCTCTCAACCATCAAATAGAAGCACTGCCTTACTTGACTGATATTAGTCTTCGAAATCCGGATATTGTTCACGCTTTACGCTGATTGCAGTGGAGTGGAGTAGATCTCCACACTGATTTCAGATTAATGAAGGCCAATCTTGCTTTTCCGATGTTGGCTTTAACGTCCTCATCTGTGCCGCCGCCTGTATTTGAAACGACGCTGCCTTGTCTAGGTGGGTGAAAGAGACAACTTCCTTTAGATTCCTCCCGTTGACGGTGATTGTTGTTGTTGGTGGTTGGGTGGGTGTCTTCATCACCTCTGTCTTTTTAACGTTCACCTGAAGTCCCGTCTTCGCTGCCCTGGCTCTTCTGTCAACTTGTTAGTTTTCGTCTGTAGATCTTCGAGTTTGTGCGACATTAGGCATAAGTCATCGGCAAAATCTAAATTTTCGAAGGTCTTTCATCGGTCCAGCGTGTGACCCTCTTCTCGCTACTCACAGTTTCTTGCATGATCGAGTCCAGTTCAATCGATCACAATCAGGAAGATCATTAATGATAGTGGGCGGCAACCTTGTCTTACTCCTGTCCTCACTTTAAACGCATCACTGAGCTTTCCATTGTGAATCACTTGGCATGTAACCTTATCACATAGCATATAGCTGCTGTTGAATGAGGTTGATAAAGGTTTGTGGTACTAAAACCGTAGTGTTGAAGCAGCAGCTGCCAAATTACTTTTCGGTCGACGCTATCAAAAGCCTTTTCGAAGTCGATGAAGTTGAGGTTGGGTTGACTGTCATTCCGTGCTCTATTCTATGATGATGCGTAGCGTAGCGTTGCAATTTGATCAGCACATGATTGTTTTCCTGAAGCCGGGCTGTTCTGGTCATAGTCTTGAATCAAGAGCATTTTTTAGTCTCTCCAGAACACTTCCCTACATGGTTCAGAAAAAACAGTAGAGGAATTCATGTTTACAGATTACAGTGACTCGTCCAAGCCTGGAGGGTCGATATTTTACTGAGGATATAACTAGATGATGAGATACTGAAAACATGTTCCAGGTTAATGTTAGCCTGCTGAAACTTGACAGTAAAGCGCTTCATTCCTTATCCTTAGATATATGATACGATGCAATCTTACAGCTGAGTAGTTTTTCATCTGCAACCCAACTGTGCAGTCAACAGGATTTCCGTTGGAAAGAATCCGGCAGTCAAGACCACAAAGTGTGATCTACACAAAAGTGTCCTGAACAAGCGAACATACTACTGAATAGTCAGGAACTACTCAGAGTGATCTGTAACTTTCGTTAGCCAGATCAGAGTGATCTTAACACCTGACAGCCGTCTCTCTCGTTCGAAGTCCAGCTTAACAACCACGGTGTATCCAGACAGATTCAGATCATACAGACAGCTGAACTGTTCAGATCACCAGAAATCTAGCTAGCTGACTGGCTGATTTCTATGGAACGGTAGACAAACTGCAAAGATTTCGAGGTTCTTCGAAAGATCCAGTTCAGTTAAACCAACGAAATAATATGCTTAGTTTATCACTGATCGTGATCCATGACACAAGGGAATTACTGTGCTTATCTACGAGAAAGAAACCAATACAAATAAAAAACGCAAGCTCCACTTTTCAACCATCATCTTTGATAGGAGAAGAAAAGTGTGTAAAAATACATCAATGGTCAGTATAGCAGAGGAGATAATTCAGGAGGTTAATTACATGATTACTGATAAAAGTGTAGTTACGTAATACAGAATTTGTATACAACAGTCAAAGCCTTATGATGGCCATGGGTCATGGCAAAGGTTAAACGTAACTCTCTTAAACACATACCGCTGGAAGCGAAATCTTATCCATTCACTCCCCGAGGATCAGGAAAATTATATGAAGAAGACACTGTTGATGGAAAACTGGAAAATCTTCGAAGAACTCTAGTAAACATTCAAATATAACATTGCTAGAGACATCCTCAAAAGGACGAGTACCAAGATACTTAAAATAAAACATACTTCACCGCCAACTTTCGAACCACTTTCTCCTCCAATGAACGTTTTGATGAACATGTGATAGACAAGTTGACGCATCAGGCCACATCAATATGTGTATACCAACCAGTTTGCTTGTTCCTATGGAACTGAGTACATCGGCTGAACCATGAGTCCGCTGGTAAACAGTGCTCGTGAACACTATCCAGCCTGGCTAGCAAAGGGAAAACGAAAATGCATCTTCAGCTCAGTAGAAGAATATCTTGCCAACTCAACTCCTTTTGAGAACCTTTTCAAAATCCTCTGCAGAGTGCAATCAAACAACTTAAAGGGAATGAGATCAAGGCATTTCGATATAGCTGAAGGATTAGCCATTTAGAAGTTCAAACCAGCAGTAGAGGGTCCAAAAAGGCTACATTCAACCTCTTTCCTTGCTATGGCTATCATAAAGCCTTGACTGCCCTAGATAAATCGTGTATTACATAACCATATTTACCTATTTTCCTACTCAAAATAAATAAATAAACTCGAACTTGCTTACCCTGAACGGTTTGAGAAAATCTTCTGTATGCGCTATACATGATTCAATCCATGGATCATTGGCGGCCAAAACATCTAAATCTTCCTATGTGTGTATAAAATTAAAAAAAATAAATTTAAAACCAAAATAACTAATTGATTCTTCAAGCCAGCGGAAACTCATTCCTAGTCTCCTCAAACCACACTGTCATTTTAACATTACAGTCCTCAATGTTCTAACACTATGCCGAATTGGACGGTAGGTATCTCTGATTAGAGCTCTAAAATATCAGGCTATGGATGTTTGCTGTGTTTCTGAAACATGTATAACCACCATTGGATACAGAAGGCCTGTTTGACATTCGCCAACTTGCATTATGTCACTCGGTGGTAGGATATCCGACAACCTATCAAACTATGAGAATAGTGAGCTGCAGTCCATTCTGTCCTGTTATACGGCGGTAAGATGAGACATGGCCGCTAAAAGTAGAAGACATGAAGCAAACACGCATTCTCAATCATAGGTTTCTTCTTAGCATTGCTCACGTGTGTCAGAATCACTGTATCAGGAGGCGAAGGGTACTAGGCAAGGCAGACAAGTCGATTGGTGAGGTTATGAACCTGTATCGATTCAAGTGGCTTGGAAGTGTGTTGCACATGCTTAGAAACTACTTATCTTGACGTACTATGGTAGGGGGAGTTGGTTTAGGTTGAAAGGGGGTTCAGGGTGGCCTGACCAAGACATGGCACCAGTCAATGAAGTCCCTAATTGTTAGCCTGAGTCGTGTAGGAAGATGTAGCATACCTGGCTGGGGCCTCCGAAATGGTCGGAATCAGTCATTGAGGATTCTTGGTGACATGGAATTTTCTAAAGCTTGAATATTTGTGTTAACCTTCAAATGTTGCCACTGTGAAGTGTGTGGCTAGCTGGAGTGATGCACTTGTGTATTCGAGGTCCCACATCGATTTTGTCTCATTGTCTGTTCACCTCTGTACCACATCATTAGATATTTGAAATCGTGCAGAAACTCAGGTGGTCATGACGAGTGTCTGACCATAAGTCAGTAAGCAATAATTACATCAACAGTAAGTGAACACGCTTTGCTTACTTCGAGTAAATCATATTTAAGCGATTTGAAGGCGTTCAACAATGTTTTCACTTGACTTTGAATCACTGCAGTTGACAGATGGTCAAACGCTGAATCAAGCAGTCGTTGAAGTTGTTCTGATAGTGATGTTTTCAACTCTGTTATACACATCTTGTAGAAGAGGAAGAAAAAGCAACAACAGGAGATGAAAATAAGCATGATACTGAACGGAAGACTAACAGAAAATTTATCGATCGATCCATTGCGTATGTTAGACCTCATTTCATACTACCGGGAATAGAAGTCCACTCCGTAAGCACTTGTATAAGTTCGTGAGAAGTAGGCGGTGATGAGCTACACCTCTTGTGTGACATATTTATCACAGTTCAATAGTTTTCTCAAATGTCGTTCAACTCTGTATGGTGTGAACAGAGTTTCCACTGGGAACCACTTAGGCAAGATTATAAGGTGAGATTTCTGACAAAAAAGTGCCATGAACAAGGGAAAAATACTACCACTGAAAAAGTAAGTGGTTGGAGACCTCTCAAGCTGATCTGCAGTATTTCACTGATGAGCCCGGCCCCGAAAGAGCGAAACAGCAGTTCGATGTTTAAGTCACCCCCATATGGTCAGCGAAAAACTACAGATCAGAAGTCTGAATGGTTTCCAACTACTCAACTTGTTCAGTAGTAGAAGTGCCTTTCGTTAGTTAGTGACACTTCTGTATCAGAGATCACATCATACACTGTCATCTTGACTAACTGGCAGGAGGGATGGTTGCCAACGCAACCCTGTTCACACCACACTTGGATGACCAGTTGAAAATCTCCTCAGTTGTGAGAAATGTGTCAGTCTAGACCATAAACAATTTGTAAGTCATCACTGGCAAACTGATCATCCTTTCCATTTTGAAATGGAAGCAATAACAAAGATGTGGGCTGATCGAAATTGGTGAGATTTGATGTGAAGTTGTTGAGACGACTACTTAAAGATCAACTACTTATAATATGAAGGAAGATAAAAGAAATTGCAATTAAAAGACTCAGAAAGATACAGTTGTCACGTTTGCTTATTTTGGCAGGTTTAATCTCCTATTCATGACTTTATGAGACTGTACTGGTTTATTTTCCCTTTCAATCGATTTCAAAACTTACTACTTTCACCTTCTGAGTTGTAGTCAACTGATTACAGGTAGTATTATAACATCATCCCATATTTAGCTTTTTTCTCCAAAATGTTCATTCTTCTGTTGTTGTATAAATAGTTAACTGTTTGAGTAGTCTCAAAAACTTTATATTACATCTCACCGATTTCGGTCACATCATACTTTTGTTAACTTTCATCTCGATCGACATATCCTTGACCAATTTACGAAAGTACGTTGCATACCTTGCGATATTTTGGAGGACTCGAGGGATCATTGGTTTAATTAGTGGCATTGTAGGTTCAAACACTGTACCACATTCCAATAAATGTATTTCATTCATTGAAACGCATAGAATGTGGCGCGCAGCCCAAATAGTTCAGTAGTAACGTCTCTGATTTCAGCTCTGGGTGGTATGAGTTCAAATCAGTTCCCTCAACATTGCAAACAAGCTCTGCTGACGAGTGCCAACAAGGACGAAACCCGGGTGAAATACGTTTATCTTTCCCGACTGTCTTCAAACACCTAACCTCAGAAGTAATGACACCCACTATCCTTGTTATTAATATTTTTTAAATATTGTTTATTGCTTAATGAATGTATGTGTTGAGTCGAAATTCCAGTCTTTCACCGTTGGTATGTTTGACTACGTTCTATGTTTTGTTGTGTCAACACCTCTATCATCAGGTTTATCAAAAGTCTTCTCAGAAATACTACATCTTTGACTCGAAATTGCCGCGAAAAACACCCAAATATCTTCAATCACGTTGCTTTTAGTGAACTCCAACCTCCACAAGATTACAAATCTGCTCCCACAAATTTACCCTCTGTATAGCTGACCTTCAAGGTTACCTACGAAAATCCTACACGTACCTACTCATAAAAACTTTACTCCAATCACCACTAATTCTCAGCAACAATAAACGCGTTCCTATTTCTCCTGTTTTGTCTGACTTCCTACATACTAGTGACTGACCGACTGGGTTGGCGATCTGAATAAACGGTTCCAAAGTTCGTTGTGGTGGTGGTGTATTTGTCTGAGTGTAATGTATCGAAGTGTATCAAGATTTGTCATGTGAAATTATTCCCAACTCTCCTTTACTCTTTACAAGGCAGATCTGGAATTTGTCAGAATTCTGCATTTTTGGTGAGTAAGCCCTCTCAGCGTAGAAGACACTCTATATCCGAAATGTTTCCACCTGGTGGATACTTATGACTGGAAGTAAACATTTAACACGCGCACCTCATAATTAACTTCCTGTATGCTCCACTAGTCTGAATATAACCGTACTTGCCTACATTTTTTCCAAGTTTATGGTTGTGGAGCAGTAGCTCATTGAACTATGCGGCTGACTTGGAATCAGTTCGTCGTAGGTTGGAATAGCGCTCCACACATCAAGGTTTGAGCAGCCAAGTAGTCTATCACTAGCTGTCACACACAATAGGTGTATGACTCACTGCCTACTGCATGGACTATCGTGAGTGGATTTCGAACTTGTCTTTATTATTTATCATAAACGTGAAATCCTATAGATGTTTTTAAGCAGCTAAGGAGAATCCATGAAACACATTCATAGTAATTCCTTGTAACTATTCTTCAGTCAAGTTTGGTGTTAAGGAAGATTTCCATACAATGGGTCAACTGAATGATACATCCGATCTTCATTACTGACTAATAGTGATATAAACTCACGAAAATTTCAATAGCAAGTCATCGAGTCTACAGCTGGTAATCTGGGAATGAGGAGTGATACGCTTTGATACAAAAAAATAACCATCAGGTAACAGGAATGTGAAGATTAGCGTCTATGTACTTTAAGTCCGTACGACAAAAATAAAACAGAAAGGGTAAAATGCTGACCATTGAATTCCTATCCACTGGTTCAATGACAATCTACTGATCACGAAACCTGACCCAGTCAACACCTTCGCAGAGCTAAACAAAGTATCCTGGAAAAAGAATCCATTGGGAACTCAGGCTTATGCCACATTGCCCCGAATTCTGGAAATCGCCAAGTGTTTCCCCAACAAAATGTTGACTTGGTGAAAGTTTTGAGTCGAATCCTCGTGGTAGAGTCATCTGTGTGCACTGTTGAGGAGTCTCATACCAGTAGGAAGAAACAGTAAATGTCCAATGAGCTACCAGATTTTCAAAAAATACTCCAAGTGATATCACATAACTCGTAATGAATGCTACCTTAAAAATAATTTTAAAAAAATACACACTAAAGTAGAACAATACTTTCTATCTTAGTAGAATGATATTAACAGGCGTATATTTAATAACATACATGAAGCTTTTGCAAATTGGTATCTTGATTTTGATAAACTGAGCTTAATTCTTTGTCTAAATGATTAACCAATGACTGTAGATTCTTTTGACATGCTTCAATACTATTGATACTTATCAAGAAATGATATCGAACCAGGGAATTTGTTCCGCCCACATTGAATGCTGATATTGTTGGTACACCGACAACACCAACAGACGAGGCTGAACTAAGCGAACCAGCTGAAATATAGGAGTGAAAACAATTTCCAACCAATGACTCCAAACATAACAGATATATTATTATTACGTAAGCTACATTTTGGTACAAACAGTTCTCTTCTTTATGTGTCAGTAAGTCATGGTCCACCTGAAGCATCTTGGGCCGCCTCTGACGTCGACTAACGAGAAACACCCAACTACTTGTTGAGCGATGAGCAAACACAGCGCTATTGAAAGAGGAGTATATATATATATATATATATATATATATATATATATATATATATATATATATATATATATCAAGACATGACAGCATTCCAAAACACAAATACCCTGCCAGAATTATTTATGGATGATGGAACAACCACAAAAGAAATGTCGACTTAACGCGGAGGAAACAAGGAAAAGTAAACAAGTCACTAAGAGATATTGTGAACATTCATCAACTGAGGAAGCTCAGCGGGACAAGTGCTTCAAACAACAAGCGATCGCATACACTTACATAGAAAGTGTCCCGAAATTGCGTAGAAACAAAACTGTGGGGACCTGCACAAAACGTCAGCGAACTCAAGAAAATTTCCATCAACTCACAAAACTTTACTAAGTCCGTCTCCAAAAATACATCATCTACATCATTACTATCAAGATCAACATATCAACAGTTATTACTGCGTAGCGGTTTGAGTTGCCACAGCTCACATTAGCACATCAAGTAACAAGGCAATAAAATGGATGGTGAAGAAAGAAAAAAAAGCTGTTAAAAGGTGTAGAAAGTAGTAAAAGAGGGGAAAGAACAATCAGAAGATGATGAGATTAAGTACGGCTGTTACGATGAGGAAAATGTATGTATACATCTGCGCCACTGACTTCGATTCTCAGCCACATCACCTAGAGTTTCCAACCACTGCTTCCTCTTGTCCCACGGACCCCAACCACCTAGTCTGCATCGACCCTCATGGTTAAAACCAACAGTCGGAGACTTCATGCATTGGTGCCATGTTTTAGTCTGGCCACCTCGAGCCTTCTTCCAGCTTGGACCCACTTCGGCCAACATTGTGTGACGAGGCGGACGGCGACTAGGCATGCATAACACGTGTAGAACTCATGCTTCACTTCATCCGAACTGCATTCAGTGGGTGCATAAGCAGAGATTACAAAGATACTAAGGCGAGCTTCACTATTTCTTTTAGTTCTCGCTGTGCTGTTCAGCCAGACAGCGTATCGGCAACTGTTAACTGAGATCCAGGCTAGTAGTGTCCTACTGCTTAGTGCTATGCCTACACCCGCAAGACCGCGAGAACTAGCCATCGAATATCCAGAAACTCGAAGAGTGAATTTCGCAGGTATGAGGCGATTGCAAGGTTTTGATCACAGATGTTTTCGTAGAATTGCTCGCGTATTCACACTCCACTAGGTTGTGGATCACAGGCATGCTTACCGACACCCGACACTAGCTGTATTTCTCGACTTGAGTGCTGTATTCGACTCCGTCGATCAAGAAGTCTTGTAGCGATGCCTCTCACTGATCGGGGTACCGAGTAAATACATCACCCTATTGAAGGCCCTTTACCCGAAACACCTGTGGGCATGTTAAAGCCTATCGTGAGATGTCGAGTGGTGTCCGACAACGATGACCACTGTCTGTATTCTAACGAAATTTTATCATAGATATTCTTATGTGGATGTCTCCTTCTCGACATCCAACTACACAGAGGTTGACCTTATAATAGGAGAATTTTTGGTAGACCTAGAATATGCAGATGACATAGTCCTGTTAGGTGAAGACACTGACAAGATGCAGAGTCTTCTAGACACCTTGAGTGACAATTTGAGAATGTTTGCGATGCGTTTAACACCATCCATGTGCAAATTGTTGCTCCAGGACTCTTCTTCGATGGTACCACGGCTAACGATAGAGAATGAAGTGGTTGAGTGTGTCGACCACTTCACTTACCTGGAAAGTGAGGTCAGATGTGATGGGTCAGTGGCCGATGAAATTCCTGTACGAATACAAAAGGTTCGGCTGGGGTTTGCCAACTTACGCCATCTATGGCGCCGCCGTGATATTCGTTTGTCTATTAAGGGTCGCGTGTACTGCACCTGCACAGCAGTCCGCTCTGTTCTACTCTATGACTGTGAAACACCACCATTGAAGGTGGAAGACATGATAAGGCTGGCTTCAGGTGTTTGACTACCGTTGCCTTTGAAGAATAGGTCGTATTCCGTGGTGTCACCACGTGAGTAAGGCAGAAGTCAGGCTCAGGTGTAGAGTTTTGGGGAGAAGAGGTAAATCAGTTGACGACGCTATGAACCTTCATCGACTGAGATGGTTGGGACACGTACTACGTATGCCTAGTCACCGATTGCCTTGTCTTATAATGTTGGCTGGGATGGGTCCAGGCTGGAAAAAGGCTCGAGGTGGCCAGACTAAAACATGGCACCAATGCATGAAGTCTCCGACTGTTGGTTTTAACCATGAGGGTCGATGCAGACTAGGTGGTTGGGGTCCGTGGGACAAGAGGAAGCAGTGGTTGGAAACTCTAGGTGATGTGGCTGAGAATCGAAGTCAGTGGCGCAGATGTATACATACATTTTCCTCATCGTAACAGCCGTACTTAATCTCATCATCTTCTGATTGTTCTTTCCCCTCTTTTACTACTTTCTACACCTTTTAACAGCTTTTTTTCTTTCTTCACCATCCATTTTATTGCCTTGTTACTTGATGTGCTAATGTGAGCTGTGGCAACTCAAACCGCTACGCGGAAATGCCTAGTCCTATGTTGATGATGAAGGATTTGATAAATGTCCAACACCTTGGAATGCAGTTTTCTAAGAGATGATGCTATTGAATGAGGAATAAAATTTACAGCATAGAGTGCAGAATTAACAGGTTGGACTATCTATCTGTATTGTAGCCAAACGTGCGAAAAAACGCTAAATTAAGCATGTTTTTCACACACGCACACACAAAAGAAGCATAGAATACAGAAAATGCAGTTAGTCTGCAAATAAATTCAACAGGTAAAGAATACAGAGAGAATAGATCTTACCTGCAGCTACGCTGCTCTGCACATAGCTGTAGGCATCTTGCATCCATCCTGAGGGGAAGCCAACACGTATATAGTTGGCTAATGTGTCATTCACCATAAGATCGATTAATATTGAACAACTGTTATTCACCATAGCGCATATACTATCCACATCACCAGATGAAAATGATCGACTGTGAAGTGTAGAGAGAAAAAACGCAAACATACATCGTGAGTATCACAGTTGATCAATCATGGACTGATATCAGTTGGAGAATCATTGAAAAAACCTGCGAGTATAGTGGATAGATGTTTCGCCTCTCTAGTATGGGAATCCTTAGCACAGCGCAATCATGAACTCTCACAAATTATCTCTTTTTTGTCTTATTTGTGTGAATTCGGTCGCTGGATTTTTCTCCTAGGTTCGAGCCCCAAAGAGTCCCATACTAGTAGCATGAAACAGCTGTCAGTTCATGATGAATACTACTTTGAAACCTATAAATCAACCAAAAACTATCAAAGTAAAGAAATATTTTAGCTAGTGATTGAAGTTATGTACAAATTTCAAAGGTTGCGTTGGTAGTGAAATTAACTGCGCACCCAGTAGAGCTAAGTCCACTTGGGTTAGAAGATCCAGAAGTTGCTGATTGCATCCTATTAGGAATCAACATGTCATATTACCTAGAGTTTTCAACTACTGACTTATGTTGTCATGTGGACCCCAACTGACAAGTCTATGTTTCTCTGCATGGCTTAGACCAACATTCAAAGATTGCATGCACTTTTGTCGTGTTTTAGTCTGGCAACCTCTAAACACTTTCCAACCTTAACATACTTCAGTTAACATTGCGTGACGATGCAGATGGAGAACAGACAGATGTAATATATGTCCAAGCCACCTAAGTGGATGATACTTCACAACCTTAACAACTGACTTTCCTATCCTCCCTAAAACTATAGGCTTCACATGTACGTTGCGCACATGGTAATACCACGAAACAGCTGCGAAGGCAATAGTGGTCGAATACCTGAAGCCTGTCTTCTCATATCTTACTACTCTCATGACCATACTATACAGCTATAAAGTAGAACAGAGCAAACTGCACCGCAGCATACACGACACGAAATAGACAACTAGATATCGCAGCGGCGCGATAAATGGCGTAAGTTGGCAAAAGTCAATCCAACCTTTTGTATCTCTGTAGAGATTTCGTCGGCCACTGACTCACCAGGGCTGATTCGATTTCCTAGGTGAAGTGAGGCGGTTAACGCGCTTAACCATTTCCCTGTCTACCATCTTGGAGCAACAATTCGCATTTCGATGACGAGAAGTGTATTCCAAGCATTCTCAAATTACCACTCAAAAAGATTAGAGGACTCTTCACCTTATTTGGGTCTCCGCCTACCAGGATTATGTGATCTGGGTACTCTAGATCTACAAAGAATTCTCCTGTAACAAGACCGAACGACGAGAGGGAGACCTCTACGAAAAATTTGAATAAAAAAGTGAACATGGTGGACATTCTTGACGGTGTTTGAATTCAGTTCAGCTTATTTATTCTCCCTTATCTTAGACACTTTCATCTACTTTATGTCACCTTTTCTCCAGCCGCTTCTTTCTATGCTGCTGTTGTGAAGTGTAACGAGTTGAATTTGAAACACTGTTAGGTAGTAAACAGAATCTACTATCCTAGAACTGTTTAAACCTCGATCATTGGAGCAGACCTCGAACAGAATGATCAATTTTCAAGTGATTTACAAATTGTACAGTCAAAAGTTGGCAATTTCTCCGGGTACATAACTAATGAGCTGGTTCAGCCTCAGGTGACCCGTCGGTGTGCAGATCACCCTTATCTGGCTAGTGAAATCTATAGATCAGTCAGTGTAGTTGGTTTCTAACTGCTCAATTCGTTCAGGAGTACATATTTCGAAAAAGAGGTCGACTGAACTTGCTACCCAATGATAAAAATTTGATTACATAATCCAATCAATTTCAACTTTGGTGATAAAGGTATAACTAGGGTGAAATATCTATCAGCTTTAACCTCGCCTGGTTAACTAGTTCACTAGTTACTAGCCGGTCCTAAGCCCGAGTAAACACGGAAGGTTGGGCATAGGGCTAGCAACCCTACCCCGTAAAACAAATCTAACCGCTAAACAAACTTCAAAGCACAAACAAAATATAAAAAATGAAAACAAACTTATTCCTCGTTGAAATCGGAGAGGCGAAATGACGCCAGTTGGTGAAAGCCTTCGGGAAGCCAATTGGCCGATGTGTCTTCCTTCCTCTCGATGAAAGCAAAAGTAAACGTGGGGACATGGAATGTCCGCACCATGTTTGAACCCAGTAAGGCAGCCCACATTGCAAAGGAGATGAGAAGGTATCACATCGAAGTGCCTCGGATTTGCGAAAGCAGATGGAATGGGAGTGGACTCTCCAAACTGTCAACTGGAGAGGAGAGTCAATAATCTACTCCGATATTGTCACACAGACGACAGCCACGAGCACACTGAGGGAGTGGCTGTCATGATGTCTCCAACAGCATCGAAGGCTCTCATGCAGTGGGAACCAATCTCCTCCAGGATGAGGATCATGACAGCAAGATTCAACTCAAAAGGAAGGAAGGTCACAATCATACAATGCTACGCTATGCACCTACAAATAATGCAGACCAAGAGTAGAAGAAGGAGAAATTCTACAGACAACTTCAATCAACACTGGACAAGACACCACTCAAGTTGGCGATATCAAAACTCATTCTAATGAGCGACATGAATGCCAAACTGGGAGCAGACAACACAGGAAGAGAACTAACCATGGGTCGAGAAGCGCTCGGTGAGGTGATGAACGAGAATGGAGAATTGTTTGCAGAATTCTGTGCATTCAACGATTTGGTGATTGGAGTCAGGCAGTATGTCCAAGCACAAGGATATCCACAAACCGACATGGATTTCACCAGACACCAGACACACTAAAAGTCAGATCGACTTCATTTCAATCTCAAGAAAATGGAGACGCAGCCTACTTGACACGGGGTCAAGAAGAGGAGCAGATGTAGGTTCACACCACTCACTGTCTAGTGCAAGGAACCTACCTCCAAAATCAAGTTGAAAGCCTTCAATTCAAGAGAGCTGGTGATCGACCACAGTTCAAGTACAACACTCAGAAACTGAAGGATGAAACTACAAAGGAAATCTTCACGGCAGCCAGACATCAAGACAAAATGGGAGATATTGAGCAACATCCCTGAAGGAACCTGTGTGGAAGAACACTGGAAGTCTTTGAAAGAGACGTGGAAAGAAACCTGCACAACAGTATTAGGAAGGAAGAAGAAAGAAGACAAGGAATGGATCTCGACGGATACATGGAAGCTGATAGATCAGGGAGAGGAGGATGGTGAAACAGAAGATAAACCAGTGCAGTGCAAGGATGCTCAACGACAAGAGGAACTGAGTACAATGTATAAAACACTACACTGGACAAAGAAGTGAAGAAGAGTGCACGCAAAGACAAAACGCACTTCTACTACACACTGGCAAGTGAAGCAGAACAGGCTGCAGGTAAGAGAGACAGAGACCTGACAACATTGTATCAAATAACCAGGTTGCTATCAGGGAAGAGACCAACACAGATGAAACCAATAAAAGATGATGAAGGAAATCTAATTAGCAAAGAAGAGAAACAAAGGAAACAATGGGCTGGCCACTTCAAAAAGCTCTTGAATCGACCACCACCACCCACACTTCGTCCAGAAATACCGCCTGCATCCCAGCCACAGAACTACAAGTGAACATAAATCCTCCAACAAAAATGGAAGTCCTGAACGCCATAAAGCTACTGAAATTTGGGAAAGCAGCAGGACCAAATGGGATCCCACCAGAAGCACTGAAAACAGACGCAGAGACAACAGCAGACATGCTCACACCACTATTGCAGAAGGTGTGGAAGGAAGAGAAGGTACCTGGCTAGTGATTGGAAGAAGGGTTACCTTGTCAAACTCCCGAGGATGGGAGACCTAAGTGTTTGCAAGAACTGGCGCGGAATCACTCTACTGTCCACCTCAAGCAAAATATTGAGTCGCATCATCCTGGAGAGGCTTAAAGATGCACTGGATTCAAAACTACGACCGGAACAGGCAGGCTGCCTTCAGGAAGTACAAATCATGTGCAGACCAAATTGCAACACTACACTATGCATCATCATAGAACACAGTATAGAATGGCAGTCAACTCAACCTCAACTTCATCGACTTTGAGAAGGCCTTTGACAGCGTCGACCGAGAGTAATCTGGAAACTGCTTCACTACTACGGAATACCGCAAACCTTTATCAGCCTCATTCAACAACTATATGAAGATGCCACATACCAGCCAAGTAATTCACAATGGGAAGCTCAGTGATGATTTTGAAGTGAAGATAGGAGTGAAACAAGGTTGCCACCTACTATCACCCATGATATTCCTGATTCTGGTCGACTGGATCATGCAGCAAACAGTGGGGGGTGGGAAGAGGGAGGTGCGCTGGACAGGGGAAAAGATCCTAGAAGACTTGGATTTCGCCGATGACTTGTGCCTGATGTCACATAAACTTGAAGATCTGCAGGCAAAAACTAACAAGTTGATAGAAGAGGCAGCGAAGACGGGACTGTAAGTGAATGTAGAGGAGACAGAAGTAATGAAGATACCGCACCAACAACTCCAACAACAACAACAACAACAACAACAACAAACTCCAATCACCATCAACGGGAGAAACTTAAAGGAAGTAACCTCCTTCACTTATCTAGGAAGCACTGTTTCAACTACAGGCGGCACAGACAAGGATGTTAAAGACAGCCAGGATCGGAAAAACAGCAAGACAGGCGTTCATTAGCCTGAAACCAGTGTGCAGATCTTCTGCACTCCTCTCAGCATGTCGAACAACATCCGGATTTCCAACACCAACGTCAAGTCAGTGCTTCTGTATGATTCAGAGACTTGGCGCGTTACGAAAGGGATTTCCAATAAACTACAGACATTCATCAACAACTGCCACCTACGCTGGCTCGTTACTGAAGATCAGATGGCCAGAATAAGAAGAATAAGTAACAAGGAACTCTGGGAACGAACCAACCAAGAACCTATCACCTAACAAATATGCACTAGAAGGAAGTGGAGATGGATTGGGCACATACTGAGAAGGCCGGCTGGGGACATCACGTGTCAGGCCGTCGAGTGGAATCCCCATGGGAAGCGACGAGTTGGACGTCCGAGGGTGACATGGAGGAGATCGTGAGAGGAGGAAATGAGAGCTTGTGGGCAGTCGTGGAGCCAGGTTGAAAAGATTTCAGAAGAGAGGGTGAAATGGAGACGTGCTACTGAAGCCCTATGTTCCATTAGGAACCCAAGGTACTAATAATATAATAATAACAATCTCATGATATGAGAAATCTCACTAATTTGGTTTGCAAAAGGCGAAGTGAAAAAAGTTGAAAAGTTCTATCTTAGTGAACCAAGTGAGCACAAGGCATCGCATAGATGCTAAGAAAGCTTTGTGTGCCATAAGTAGACCGTGTTCCGACAAATAATACTACGTCTACTTAGCCAACGCCTACTCAACATTAGCTAAGACTGTAGCAAACAAAAAGCTTGGTCAAACCAGAAGTTTATGTTTAGAAGGAACGTCTTCAGACGTTATTTCTCCCCTGGCCTTCAATAAGCTGAAGACTACTCTCGGCTTTCTTATTTGAAAATGTATTTGCTTCAAAACTTGATCTCCATAGACAACTGCTACCTTGACGTGGTGGTCTACCTTGCTTATCACAACGACTAGACGAACTATGTTGGTGGTGGAACGCCTGTTCCCAGTAGGTATTACAACTCTAGAAACGTCCGTTGGATAGTCGTTCAATAAATAGAAGTTACCACTATAGTGTATATTGCTGCACTATGATGGGATCCAAAGGGCAAAATGGTACTGCTGTTTGGACGGGTTGTGAAAGCAGCAAGGTGTTGCTTGAGGATGACCAGCGGTGGCCACGCTGATGCCGTCTTCCCTATGGGAAGGGAATTTTAAGAAATGTCGACTTTAAAAATATCACACGTCTCTCTACCGCATAGCATACAGGTGCCAGCAATACGGGTTCATAGTCAGAGTCGTGGCTAAAAAACTTAAATCTCTAACTTCTAGATAGGCCATGTGTGACCATCCTCAAGTAGATGTCTCTTGAACTCTTTGAACATGTAGCCTTTTACGGTGACGGCAGCTGAGAAGTGTCAACCACCCGCACGCTTCCAGTAGCAAATGAAAGCTAACCAAACTTAGGGGAGTTGGAAAACCCTGATTTCAAACAATGGTGCTCATGGGCTCCGGGTTCCAGATGGAACGAATAGAGTAGAAAACTGTTTTGGTCACCGGCAACCGTGGGAATGCAGCTCTCGGTGTCGCCTCACTGTCTTACGGATCAGACTTTAAGTCACAGGTTCGGGGAGTGGTCCTCTAAGACAACCACCTGCTTCGATCTTAGCGCCCAAACAATCTCCAATAAACACTAGTTCGCTCCGAGCTCCCTGCAACTTCTTGACGCCCATTGGACCACTCTGGCGGATAGCGAGTACAACGCTTCGCAAGGACTGTGATGCTTGGTGGTCAAAATGCGTGAGATAGAAGCAGCAGCTGCATTTAGCAGTAGTCGGAAGCTGTTCTAGCTCACCCGAGCTACTAGTAGCAAGAAGCCTGGTGTCAGTGAGACGGTTTGTGAGTTAGACAGCACGCCAATAAACAGTCTTTAAAGACGCCTAGAAGGCTGGGTGGAGAACTTCGAAAGGCAGTTTAGCTGCTCCACTGTTCCTGCATCCTCAGTTTCAGTGTATTGTGTCAACACTGACCCATCTAACGAAGCGGAGGTCAACAGGGAACTCCAAGTCCTGAAACATCACAAGGCACTCTGTCGACACAACCTACCTCCGGCGCTTTTTAAAGAGGAAGGAACGACTCTAGTCAGTTCTCCGACTAGATTTTTTGAGAAGGTATGACAAACTGAGAGTTTTCCATCACTCTAGAATGAGGCCATCATTTTGCTTACCTTTAAGAAGAGTCTAAGTTGCATATGTGACAATCATCATCATCACGTCGAAAATATTGGCAGCAGTCTTTGCAAAACGCTTGAGAAAATTATTCGCGAGGAGCAGGTTGGGTTTCGTTCAGGTCACGAATGCATTGATCATATCCATGAACATCACCAGACATATTGAAGATCAACAATCTTTATATTTCTTGACATTTGGGCTGCTTTCGGTTCGTTGGGCAGAGCTGTACTCTGGAATTGTCTGTTGGAGAGATATGTGCTTGAGAAGTTTCTTAACATCTTGAAATCCCTATATAAACAACACCTCAGATAGAGTGAGGGTATACAACCACCTGTCTTCATTGTTCCAAACCAGCAGTGGGACTGGGCAGAGTTACCCGATTTCTCCATTCCTGTTTAACTTTGCCATAGATGACATTCTTGAGGCAGCTCTGAAGGAGGTGAGTGATGGTGATGTAGATCTACAGCCCAGCGAACGGCTTTTTGACCTTGAATGTGGAGACGATATCACCTTACTGTGTGATAACATACAGGCTACTCAAAGCGCACTTAATCAGTTGGCGATTAGTATCGGTAAGTATGGCATGTGCTTTGCTCCATTGAAGTACAAAGTACTTTTGCAAGATAGGCAGGAGCTTCATCTTTGTGTATCCGGGTAGTTACGTGAGTGTTGGTGAAGGTGTAAGTGATGAAATTTTTAACGCATATCGAAAGCCCGAGTGGCATACGCCATTCTAGGCCAACTTTGGCACCATCGCAACACTAGTCTGACCGTAAAAGGTTGGGTTTACAACACTTCAGTGCAAGCAGTTCTGTTCTACGCTTGTTAAACCTGGCCTCTCCAATCTGAGGAAGTGTGATTACTCTGAGTATCCCGTCATCGTTGTCTCCGTAGGATTACTCGTATCCGGTGACAACACCATGTAAGTAATTCTGAGGCACAACAGTATGTGTTTAGGCATGATAGAGATTATCATTCAATAAGTGAAATCATCTGGAAGTACCGAGTTCGGTGGTTTGGACATGTGTTATGCATGTGGTCGCAACGGCCACCATACCGTTCATTGTTTGCTAGCTATGGGACTGGGACCGGATGGAAGAAGCGGAGAGGTGGTCAGTGTATGACATGGGATGTAGGATAATTGTATCAAGTTAGCATCTGTTGGTGCATCACGACTCTTTGCGTGGAGTCAGAAAGATCATGGAACCCAGTGGATTGAAACGTCCTCAGATATGCCTCAGAATGGAAACCAGTGGTGGTCGTGCTGTAGCTTCCTTCCACCTTCTATTGCTGAGAAGTAATGAATGTACCTTACTGGACTGCCCTTCAAATCATTCTACTTCTATTGTGTTATTCTTTTTATCCACTTCCCTCCGCTTTATGTCTTCATAATGTTATATTGTTCTGTGTCGCGCATTTCTTGGTGCCATTGCTGTACCGTGTTTGTGTTCTAGTAAATAAATAGATAAAATAATTCCAGATTCCACTGTTCACCACTAATAATACAAAATTAAAACGACAGGCAATATCGAGGCATCAGCACAGGAGCCCATATCTCCCAGTACAGACCGATCAATTCGACTTAGTCAACGATAGAATAATACAAGCAACAACATAAAAAACACGATTACCTGAGTCAATTAAACACACATTCATATTAAAATAATCAAAACTTACCTAAGGCTTTTCTTCGTGATGAAGAACACATCATCAATGAAACGCCAGACATTACCAGACTTATCCACTTCATTTAAGCTTAATGCCTTGAAAAGGATATTTTTTAAGGAAAACAAGAAAGGTGATCAGTTACTGTGTCTGTGTGTGTGTATGGGTGTACATTGATTGGTCACTAGAAACCAACCAATTTCTTGTTGTCTAGTCCTAAGTGCTGATCGAATCCTATCGATCATTTCGCAATGTCACCAACCACCAGGCTAGGAGACTCGTCATTACGATGCACTGAGATGGATGTTAGTTGGATGGAGGTAATCGGCAGGAAGCTCTGGACCTAGGTTTCATGCTTAATGACACTCGCCAGCAAGGCGTATTTGCAACCTGGAGGCAACTAACGTCCCGACTGAGATTCGAACTAGAATACATGAAGTTGGTTACCCTCCAGTAACCAATCTATGTGCCTGACCCAACCCTACAGCAAATCAGTGATAGCCCTAATAGTTCAATGGTAACGTCTCTGACCGCAACACTGAGTGATGTGGATTAGAATCTCAGGCACGACATCAGTTTTGTCAAGGTTGCAGATAAGCCATACTGAATGGCGAGTGCCAACAAGCACCTTTATCCAACCAGCATCTATCTGTGTGCATGTGTGTTATAGAAGCATTACACTTCGCAACAATCAACTAATATGGACCAAAAAAGGTAAACAAACCACTTAATTGTGACAGCACCATCATCACTGAGGTTGTCTGAGAAAGCCATGGTTTGGATGACTGTTATCATTGATATTGGGTGATGACGACTTACAGTGAAATGAAAACTTGGGTCACGAGAAGATGTGAACCAGTTAGATAAGACCTAGGGGTAGAAGTAGACAGACGAAATCGACTTCGAAACTCGTACGGGACAGCATCAGCTCAAGTAGCTACACTTTACAGCTACATGCAGAGAATAAGTGGATAGAAAAGGAAGACGGATTTCGGAGTAGACAAAGGTGTATGAGAAAGAGAAGTGATTTGAAAAACAAGGTCAGTGAAAACATTCAAGCTTTAGAAAACGTCAGATACTGACTCCTTGTAGAGCACTGAACCTGTTAACCCGGAGGTCGCTGGCCTGAATCCTGCCGCAACCCAAGTTGCTATGTTTCACCCTTAATCATCACTCCAAACCATAGACAGTTGGTGCGATCCCGACGAATGAAGAGTGACGCCTCACTGATTCACATGGCAATGAAAAAAAAATGAGAAAACACCAGCTAACATTAAGTAAAAGAAATAAATCTGAGAAAGAAGATGATAAGTGTACGCAAATCAACATCGAGTGAACTGGCTAGTCAGATTAAAAAGGCAACACAGATTATCACTGAAACTAACTGAGGACAGCTGTGATCTAACAGACTGGATGTTACTGATCCCCGGTGATGAATGAATGTGGAATGAAAATCTGGCTAGCGGCAGGATTCAAATCAGCAAATATACCTCTAAGCTTTCCACACATCTGCTAATAATCCTCACCTCCTCACTTAGGTGTCAAACAACCGTAACACTCTAGAATCCATGAAAGTAATCTCGAATAGGATGAGGAATTTTGCAAATGATTTACAAATTCCACGGTCCACCTTAACATTTCTCACAACTGAATAGTTTTCAAACTGTCCAACTGTGATGTTATACAGAGAAAATCAACGTGACAACCTTCCACACAAATTCGTTGATTCAAGTTGTCACACTTCACAATAGCATACAAAGAACAGGTGGATGGGAAAGACTGATATCAAAGAAAATAAAGGTGAATCGGAGGGGAAGAAACTTAAAAATAAGGACAAGTCAAAACATTCAGGCATTGGAAGACATCAAAGAGTGAATAAATCTAATGTATAGTGACCGATTTTCGGCCATGTCATCAAGACTCCTCAACCACTGATTGCTATTATCTCAGGGACCCCAGCCAGGTAGTCTACACCTCCCCACATGACTTCTACCAGCAGTCGGATGCTTCATTAACTGATGTCACGTCCTTGTCTGGTCACCCTGAAACCATTAACAACCTAATTCAACTTCCAGTAGCTAGCATAGCACGTTGAGGTAGACGGTGGCTCGGCATGAGCAGCATATATCCAAGCTATCTCCGTCGTTAAAGGCTCACAACTGCATCGATCGACTTCCCTGTCTTGCCTAGTATCCCTCGCCTGATCTCAACGTTGCCTACATGGTGATTGTACCAAATGTGAGCAATACTGCGAAGATCCTTTTGATCAAAACCCTGTAACTGCTTCATGTTTTCTACTCTTAACGGTCATCTCTCACAACTGTATAACAGAACAGAGCAAAATCCAGAGCAGTATACTCGCCCTTTGACAGGTAGTCGAATATCTCACTAGTCGGCGCTACAGGTGACGCAACGTGATAAATGTCAAACGGGTCTTTTGTATCCGAGGTGAAATTCCGTCAGCAACCAGCCCGTTCGGGCTGATGCGGCTCCTCAAGTAAGTGAAGTGTTCGATACATTCTACCACTTCACTTCCTATCATTAAACCAGGATTAGACCAATAAAGCAGCATCATCTTACATCTAACAGATGCTAGCAAAACGCACACCAGCCAAACATACTAAGATTTCTACGCGACGCGTTTCGAAGACCCTGCATTTTATCGAATAGACAAACGAACAAAATCACCGTATAATCTCGCAAACAGAAGAGTATCGGTTCAAATAACTGCACTCCACAGTAACACGCAAAGAACAAATGAATAGGAAAGACGAAAATTTTCAGGCTTTAGTAGACATCAATGAGTAAATCCATCTTGCCATCGTGACCGATTTTCAGCCACTGCTGCATCAAGGCCTATAAAAACTGATCCCTATGGCCTTAGGAACGCTAACTAGACTTTCCTATAAAGCTCAGACTGATTAACAGTCAGACTGACGTATTAATATTATTATTATTATTTTTCCTATGGGTTCCTAGTGGAACATAGGACTTCAGCAGCACGTTGCCATTTCACTCTCTTATCTTCCGTATTTTCAACCTGGCTCCACAACTGCACACAAGCTTTCATTTCTTCCTTAGACGACTTCCTCCATGTCACTCTCACCTCGGACACCCAACTCGTCTTCCCCTCTCTGGATTCCACTCGACGGCCTGGCCTGACCTGGCCTGGCGCGTGATGTCCCCAATCGGCTTTCTCAGTGTATGTCCAGTCCAGTCCAGTCCAGTCCAGTCCAATCCATCTCCACTTTCTTCCTAATCTTATTTGTTGAGCGATACCTTCTTGGTTGGTTCGTTGACAGCCAGTCAGAGTTCCTTGTTGCTTATTCTTATTATTCTGGCCATCTGATCCGATCTTCAGTGTCAGTATCGAGTGAGAGTAGGCGGCAGCTGTTCATGTGATGTATGTATGTGGTTTGTTGGAAATGCTTTTCGTGACGCGCCAAGTCTCTCAGTCATCCATCACATAGAAGTACTGCCTTACTTGATGTTGGTGTTGAAAATCCGGATATTTGTCACGCTTTATGCAGAGTATAGTAGATCTCCACACTGTTTTCAGGTTAATGAAGGAAGGCCTGTAATGCTGCCTTTTTGATCTTGGCTGCTTTGACATCCTCATACGTTCCACCTGTAGTTGAAACGATGCTTCCTTGTCTAGTTAGGTGAAAGAGACAACTTCCTTCACATTTCTGCCGTTCATGGTGATTGGTGCCTCTTGTTGTTGGTTGGGTATCTTCATCACCTCCATCTTCTCTACGTTCACTTGAAGTCCCTTCCGTTTTCGCTGCCACTTTTGTCAACTTGTTGGTTTTCGTCTGCAGATCTTCAAGTTTGTGCGACAAGACATTAGACATAAATCATCATCTACGAAATCCAAATCTTCTCCCAGGGTCTTTTCATCGGTCTAGCGTATGCCCGTCTTCTCGCTTCTCATAGTTTGTTATATGATCCAGTCGACCACAATCAGGAAGATTATCGGTGATGATAGTAGGCAACCTTGTCTTACTCTTGTTTTCATTTCAAACGCACCACTGAGCTGAGTCTCATACGAAAAACAGAAACATTCTTCCATAATAACCATAACTAAACAATATTTGTTATGTAAGGCAAAATAGATACACTAACCTTAGTTATTGTCACTCGAAGATAATACTCCTCTATAACGATATATTTGCTTAGTAAATTCTGTACTTGGTAAATAATTTGAGAATTGTCGAAAAACTTGGAAATTTCATTGACTTTCACTATTAAAATAATTTAAAAAAATTCAAGGTAATTTCATGATGTTGCTTTTCTTTTCCAGTTATCCTGGTTGAAAACGAATCACATAAAACTTATTTTAAACAGAGGAAGAAAAGGTGACGAACTACACGTACACACACACGACACCTACTGTGTGTGATGGCTGGGTGATAGTACCTGATGGGGCGGTGTTTGAACTCACAACCCCGTAGTTGGAAGATGAATGCCTAGACCAATGGAGTCACAAGCTCAACACCACAAAGAAAACAACGTGTAGCAGAATAATATGAACCTTTTTTTTGTTATTTCAATGTATGTACATAACAAGAAGTGAACACACAAGTTGACAACACGTTATTGACAGGAATCAACCGGTAGAATACATCACGTAAGTGATCAAAGTAGAGGAGAGGAAGATTAACTACTTATTTATTTATTTTTAGAAACAGAACGAAAACTATGCAAAATACAATAAGTTAACATTTTGCCTACATTTTTATTAAAAGCTGATTGATTACCAGAGTCAGACGAAGGGTACTAAGCAAGGATGGCAAGTTAGTCGAAGAGGTTGTGAACCTCTATCGACTTAGATGGCTTGAACATATATACTGCACATGCTGATCCATCACCTACCTCGACGTTCCGTGCTGAGAGAAGTTGGATTAAGTTGGAAGGGGGTTCAGGATGGCCAGACCAAGATGTAGCACCATCATATGAAGTCCCTGACTGTTGGACTGAGCCATGTAGGTAGGGAGACGGTTGGAATCAGAGGCTGAGGAATCTTGGTGAAACGGCTGAAAGATGTCTCCCAAAGCTTCAGTGTTATGACTAGGAATAGTACGTTCACAGATGACCGTCCACAATATAAGCTTCCCCACTCCGTCCGATTCACTTTTTGCCTGGATATTATATAGCTGATCATTCAAATGTCTGCTGGGAAGCATAAATGGAAGTGTACGAAAAAATGTCCACACTGCCAACATTCATCAAGTCACTGATTTCTATCGGTCTTGTGGATCTCAACCAAACTGTCTACACCTCACTATATGGCTCGCACATAGAAAGATAGTAAGAGTCTTCATGAACTGGTGATACATATATTGATCCGATCACCTTTAGTTTTCTTGCAAAACAATTCTACTTCGACTAACATCAAACGTCGAAGTAAATGGTGGTTCAGTAGGCGCAGTGCATATCCAAGTCATGTCGGTCAATGGAGTTTTACAATCTTACAAACCAGATTAGCACCAAACCTCAGCACTGCTTACATAGTGGTCGCACCATCATATACCAGCAATACAACGAAGACACCTATGATCGAAGACGTGTTACCTCTTCATATTCTTTACTTTCGGCAGCCATTTCTCACAGCGGATAATTGGATGCCCCAGGTAGTCTACACCTCCTCGTTGGGAAATGACTGATTACAAAGTGGAAAACCATTGGAAACTTGAAAGCACTGGACACCTGTTTTATCATACAAGTACGGGACACCTCAGCAGCCCATATCCATGACCTCACCAGGGATCGAACCCAGGACCTTTAGATCTCGCGACAAGCACGTTACCATCGATACACTGCGTCGGAATCCAACAGTCCGCATTTGGATGAAGTTGGCTTTATATCGTAAACTGTGGACCATTGGATTCCAACACTGGTAACGTGCCCGAACAAAGGGGAATTAACAAATGAAAGGCTAATTTGTAGGGAATTGATTAATTTCAACGTGACCATCATCCCAAAGTCATCGTTAATTCTCGTGAAAAAAGGAATTGCAGCAGACAGAAATGATATAGAATGCCATCTAAGTTGTCACTACTTATGGCGGCTTGCCAAACATTTTCGACCGAATATACACACTCAATCGAAGTGGTCCATTCGGACTAATTTTAATCATTCAAATATGTCTCCGAATCGTAACTATGTACGCTAGTACACTTCTTAAATGCTTTTAATCCGACGTTGTGTATCAAACATATTGTCTGGGAAAAAGTGCTCATTATGACCATTATTTATTATTGTTATCTTCGGTTATAGTGTGCAACAAAATTGCCCAAAGCCTCATAAGAAGCCCTAAATCCCTGAAGCCTTTCACAACCAATCATTTTGCGGTGAATTATCGAGAAAAGTCACGTGAACCAACGCATAAATACCAAACTGGCTGAAAAGGCAAAACTCAATAGGATATGCCCTTCTAGAAAGGCTTAGAAATAGTCAAAGACGTAAATATGAACATAGAACACTGACCTAGAGATGAAGGAAGATTAGAAGGTTAGGATGTGGAAGGTGGATAGCGATCTGAAGTAAATTGTGTACTAACAGAGTTGTGAGGGTGACTGACACTCCCCGGCTGCCCACACTGTGGAAGGCTTGACCTTCTTGAGGTACCTAAAAAGAGAGGGGTTAGTGTGTGGTCACAGAGTCCAAGGGACATCTACTTGAGGCCGCTCACATACGGCCTTTTAGCAAATTTGAGATTTCGGGATTTTGCTTTCAAATCCGATTATGAAACTAGGTCGACGGCATCCGTATGCTGCGGGCAATGAGAGTGTACTATTTTAGGGGTCAACCTATTCTAACCCTGCCCTCCACCTCCCAAAGGGAAGGCAGGATTAGCATGGCACTTGTAGTCATTCAGTAGTACGACTTCGCCCCCAGACCCATATCATAGCGTAGTAATTTACACCATAATGGTAACTGCTTTTCATCTTACCACTATCCAACGGACCTTACTGATATGGTAGAACCTCGAGGGAACAAGCGTTCAAACAGTATAGCTCGTTGGGTCATTGTAATATCCAAGCCCAACCACCGCGTCAAGGTAACAGCTATGGATCATTCCTCCTTCCTCCGTTTTACTACTTTCTACGGCTTTTGACCGATTATTCTTTGTTTCTTTACCTTTCATCTTGATGTTTTCTCACTTGATGTGGTGATGAGATGTGGCAACTTGGACTGTAACGCAGTGATGCCTGATCCTATGTTGATACTGATGATGATGAAATGTATATGTAAACCATTGCATTCTGCATATATTTTATGCTGCAATATACCCTCTGTTATCTTACAGCCTTTTCTATTTACTGAGAAAGTGAGCGATCATCAAGGGTAGAAGAATTTGAAGATTATTATCCAAGTAATACACTCTCACATATGCACATGTAACAAGGTTATATCACCTTCACAAATGAAAAAAAAAACTATCCCACTTACATTTATAATCATTCTCTTCGAGATTGCACTGTTTGATGTCACCCTGCAAAAAAATAAAAAAAAAACAAATGAAAACAGAATAACATTATGCACAAATGGTTATGTACATGATAAGAAAGCAACCAGCTAAAAATCAGATGGACAGATAGATGATACCAACATGTCGACCAGCACATCCTGAACCCACTCCAGTTCACATTGTGCGACGAGGCAAACGGTAACTACGCATGCGTAACACATGTCACAGTCATCTCAGTTGATGACGATGCACAACCGCACTAAGTGATCATCCTCTCCTTCCTAAAACTCCACATCTAACTTCTACATTACCGACGTGGTGACACTACAACACATGGCCTATGCTATGAAAGCCAAGGGTGTCAAACATCTGAAGCCTTCCCATGTTTACTACCTTTGATAGTCATGTTTCACAGCCATACAGTAGAGTAGAGCGAACTGCAGCACGGTACACTCGTTTATTAATAAGTAATTGGACGGATATCACGGCGACACAATAAATGGCATAAGTTGGAGAAAGCCAACCGAGTCTTTGTATCTGTGTTGAGATTTCGTCGGTCACAGAGCCATCCATCAGGCTGATTTGACTTCCCAGGTAAGTGAAGTGGCCAACACTGCACTCAACCACTTTACATTTAGGTGGAGAGAAATGCATCCCAAATGGTGGTTTATATTCTATCCAGAAAGAGAATTCGCTTTCAATATCAACTATATGGAAACATCAGTTAATTATATGCGTTACTGTTAAGACTTATATCTCTTATTTTGGTGATATAACTGACCGTTTTATTGATACTGGGTGATGATTAAAGGTGAAATGAAAATTTGGACCACGTTCGGATTCGAACCAGAGACAACTGGTTTCCCCGCCCGATGCCCTATCAACTGAGCTACGAGGTCCGACTACTGACCAGATTTTTATTTCACTTCGATCACCAACGGTTTCGCCCCACCACCACGTGAATTCGTGACGCGTTACTGTAGCTTGATAGTACTCACATTGGTTGCCCAGTCAGGACTTCCCATTTCAATCTAATCTAACTAAATTTTTGAGATGGGAGGAGCATCATATTGATTATCATTTTGACTATCGAGCAAAGTCGAGCAATTCAAACCCGCATACAACACCGAGAAATTACAAGTATCAAGCAACGACAACTGATACTCGTTGCACAAAAGGTAATTCTCGTGCCCTGGCGGCTTAGTGGATAAAGCTTTGGCGTTTGAAGAGATGGGTAATAGGTTTGAACTCCAGTGGAAACAAAATCACTCCTCACTGGCGTTTAGGTACATCCAGCTGACGAGTGAGTCCCAAACAGGACGAAACGTGCGTCTTGGATTCCACTGCTAATTACAAATAATTGAATATGCGGGTAGTGTCGAGGCACCTAACTGGATCGGAGCCCATCTGACAACAGAGGTCATCATCATCAATATCAACATAGGACCAGGCATTACTGAGTAACGGCCGAGTTGCCACACATCACATCAGTTCATCAAGTAGAAAGGTAGTGAGGTGAAGGATGAAGATAAGTGAATGCAGTCAAAAGAAATATAAATTAAAAGAAGTAAGGAAAGAGGAGTGACAAAATGGTGAGATTCGGTATAGCGTTGTTAAGATGAGTAAAATGTATGTATAAATCTGCACCACTGACTTCAATTCTCAGCCACATCACCTAGAGTCTCCAACCACTGCTTCCTCTTGTCCCACGGACCCCAACCACCTAGTCTGCATCGACCCACATGGCTTAAACCAACAGTCAGAGACTTCATACATTGGTGCCATGTTTTAGTCTGGCCACCTCGAGCCTTTTTCCAGCCTGGACCCATCCCAGCCAACATTATAAGACAAGGCAATCGGTGACTAGGCATACGTAGTACGTGTCCCAACCATCTCAGTCGATGAAGGTTCATAGCGTCGTCAACTGATTTACCTCTTCTCCCCAAAACTCTACACCTGAGCCTGACTTCTGCCTTACTCACGTGGTGACACCACGGAATACGACCTATTCTTCAAAGGCAACGGTAGTCAAACACCTGAAGCCAGCCTTATCATGTCTTCCACCTTCAATGGTGGTGTTTCACAGTCATAGAGTAGAACAGAGCGGACTGCTGTGCAGGTGCAGTACACGCGACCCTTAATAGACAAACGAATATCACGGCGGCGCCATAGATGGCGTAAGTTGGCAAACCCCAGCCGAACCTTTTGTATTCGTACAGGAATTTCATCGGCCACTGACCCATCACATCTGACCTCACTTTCCAGGTAAGTGAAGTGGTCGACACACTCAACCACTTCATTCTCTATCGTTAGCCGTGGTACCATCGAAGAAGAGTCCTGGAGCAACAATTTGCACATGGATGGTGTTAAACGCATCGCAAACATTCTCAAATTGTCACTCAAGGTGTCTAGAAGACTCTGCATCTTGTCAGCGTCTTCACCTAACAGGACTATGTCATCTGCATATTCTAGGTCTACCAAAAATTCTCCTGCGATCAGATCAACATTTGTGTAATCTGGTGACGATAGGGAGACCTCCATAAGAATATCTATGATAAAATTGAATAAGAATGGAGATAGTGGGCACCCTTGACGTACACCACTCAATGAACATAGCTCCCCAGGCATCTCACCGTACGCTCTAACACGCCCACAAGTGTTCGAGTAAAGAGCCTTCAATAACGTGATGTACTTACTGGGTACGCCTTTCAGTGAGACAATGCCATAAGACTTCTCGATCAGCAGAGTCGAATGCCGCCGCCTATAGGTCAGGGAATACAGCTATTATCAGGCGTCGGTAAGCGTGCCTATGCTCCAGGACCTGGCACAGTGTGAATATTTGGTCGATACACCCACAGCCAGGTCTAAATATTGCCTGGTTTTCTGGGCCCTGCTGTTCCCGAGCTCCACTAAGGCGTCGGAGAATTATAGAACTTAGAATCTTGGACACTATGTTTGTCAGGCTGATTCCTCTGTGGTTATCACAAGAGGACTTCTCGCCTTTCTTGAAGACTGGGATGATGAGTGACTTAGACCAGTCGGAGGGGATCGTATTTGATTCCCATATACTGGCTAACACTTCCGTTAACCTGACTAAGAGCACTCTACCACCATTCTTGTATACCTCAGCAGGTAGTCCGTCTGGTCCTGCTGCCCTTCCTCGTTTCAGGCTACCTACCGCTTTCTCAACTTCTTCTAGTGTTGGGGGGCCTGTCTCTATGTCCCATTCAGGGTCCGACTGGATAGCGGGCAGCGCAATCGTGGCTGGAGGCCAGTTAAACTGTTCCTCCAAGTGTTCTGCCCATCGTTCCAGTCGTCTCCCCTGCGAGTGAATCGCAGATCCGTCCTTCTCCGCTATAGCCTCACTAACTGTTGTTGACCATTTCTCCCCAGTCTCCTTAATAAGTCTAAATAACTGTCTACTGTTACCGATCGCCGCTGCCTTTTCCATCTCTTTAGCCTTTGCTGCCCACCACTGTTCACGATCGTTGCGCAGACTTTTCCTCAGTCTACTTTTAAGTTGAGCTCGCTCTTCATTGTACTCAGAGCCTGCAGGGATGCATTCACGTGCATCCATTAGTTTGGAAGAAGCTGCTGATATCCACTGGCTCTTTTTAGCCATTATTTTGGAGTCGGCTACAGTCTCCAGTGCTGCTTTTACAGCAGACTGAAGATGGCACCAAGCTTCTGGATGAGTGACAGTCTTTTGTTCCGATAACTGCCTAGCCAACTTCTCACTGAACACGGCTTTGGTGTTTTCGTTGTCCAGCAGAACTCGTAGTGGTTTTGTTGCCAAATTTTTTCTACGTCCATTGAGACGCAGGCATATACGTGCTCGGACCAACGCATGATCGCTGTCCAAACACGTACTCCAGAAGGAGCGGCAGTCTTCCACCGATCCTCTCCAGCGATGACTAATAGCAATGTGGTCTATCTGTGTCCATCGCTGAGTCGAGCTCGGTGGACGCCAGGTCAGACAGTGCCTTTCTTTATGTCTGAAATTGGTGCTGGCTAAAAATAGGCGGTTATCTGAGCATAGTTGTAATAGGCGATCACCGTTATCTGTACGTTCAGCTGGGATTCCGAAAGTGCCACCTAAGTGCCTTTCTGCCTCACTCAGTCTACCCACCTGTGCGTTGAGGTCACCTGCAACAACCACCACGTCCGAACGTTTGGCTTTCGAGAGGAGGTTAGACAGTTTATGGTAGAACTCGTCCTTCACTTCATCCGAGCTGCAGTCAGTGGGTGCGTAAGCAGAGATTACAAAGAGACAACGGCGAGTCTCACTATTCCTTTTAGTTCTCACTGTGCCGTTCAGCCTCATAGCGCAGAGGCGACTATCAACTGGGATCCAGTCTAGTAGTGAGTTTTCTGCCCTGGTGCTTAATGCTATACCTACACCTGCAAGACCACGAGAGCTAGCTATCGAATCTCCAGAAACTCGAAGGGTGAATTTTGCAGATTCACCAGATTGGTCAGGAGAGGTCAGGTGAATAACCACACTTGGGTCCTGTATGCGTGTCTCACAAACACAGCACACATCCATGCCCGAGTTGCTAGAGTCTTTGCTAACGAAGCCTGTTGGCCAATTTGACGGAGGGTGCGGACATTGAAGGCTCCAATATGTAATTTGGAGCGTGGTTTAAGGAGACCAGGGATGCTGTTCTGTGGACTCAGATCGTTGTCGAAGGCTGCAGAGGTAGGAGAAATTGATGTAGTATCATTAATTGAGAAACGTGAAGGAAGATTAGAAGGTAATGATGAGGGAGGTGGATAGCAGTCAGAAGAAACTTGAGTGCTGACAGAGTTGTGAGGGCGGTTGACACTTCCCGGCTGCCCACACCGTGGAAGGCTATTTTTTCTTAAGGTACCTGAGAGGAATTTGTGTGACCGCAGAGTCCATCGGACATCTGCTTGAGGCCTGTCACATGTAGCCTTTTGAGTATGATTATTTTGAACTTTTGTATTTTGGAGGCCAGACGGTCGAAGGGAAACGACAAGTGAACAAATACCGCGAACCCGGCAGACCGTGGGGCATGGTGGAGTGTTATTTTTGAGGCCGACCTTTTCTAACCCCCCCCTTTCACTGAGAAGGCAGCATCAGCATGGCACTGCTGGTCATTCAAGGGAAACACCTTACTGCTGTCACACCCCATCCAGCTAGCAGCAGTACGACTTCGCCCTCAGACCCCCCATCATAGCGTAGTAATTTACACCACAAGAACAACACAACAGTGGTCGAGCAATTCTACCCTGTACAGTAACGGGGAATTATAAGTATCAATAAATAGTACCTTTGTCGAATATTTCAAAGTTTATTTTCCCTGTGGAAATGTTGTTCAGTTGTGGAAACACGTTAGCTGTAAATTTACTGTTTTAAAACGTCCTATGTAGAAAGGACTGTGAATTGCTTATCTTGTATGTATTTCAGTCGGTGAACCATAAACCCGGGAAGCGTCAGAGCAAGTACGGTTATATTCAGACTAGTGGAGCATACAGGAAGTTAATTATGAGGTGCGCGTGTTAAATGTTTACTTCCAGTCATAAGTATCCACCAGGTGGAAACATTTCGGATATAGAGTGTCTTCTACGCTGAGAGGGCTTACTCACCAAAAATGCAGAATTCTGACAAATTCCAGATCTGCCTTGTAAAGAGTAAAGGAGAGTTGGGAATAATTTCACATGACAAATCTTGATACACTTCGATACATTACACTCAGACAAATACACCACCACCACAACGAACTTTGGAACCGTTTATTCAGATCGCCAACCCAGTCGGTCAGTCACTAGTATGTAGGAAGTCAGACAAAACAGGAGAAATAGGAACGCGTTTATTGTTGCTGAGAATTAGTGGTGATTGGAGTAAAGTTTTTATGAGTAGGTACGTGTAGGATTTTCGTAGGTAACCTTGAAGGTCAGCTATACAGAGGGTAAATTTGTGGGAGCAGATTTGTAATCTTGTGGAGGTTGGAGTTCACTAAAAGCAACGTGATTGAAGATATTTGGGTGTTTTTCGCGGCAATTTCGAGTCAAAGATGTAGTATTTCTGAGAAGACTTTTGATAAACCTGATGATAGAGGTGTTGACACAACAAAACATAGAACGTAGTCAAACATACCAACGGTGAAAGACTGGAATTTCGACTCAACACATACATTCATTAAGCAATAAACAATATTTAAAAAATATTAATAACAAGGATAGTGGGTGTCATTACTTTTGAGGTTAGGTGTTTGAAGACAATCGGGAAAGATAAACGTATTTCACCCGGGTTTCGTCCTTGTTGGCACTCGTCAGCAGAGCTTGTTTGCAATGTTGAGGGAACTGATTTGAACTCATACCATCCATAGCTGTAATCGGGGAAGTTACTAACAAGCTAGTAAGACCACAAATAACCTTCTGAAAGATTAGATTTAGATATATCGATTTCATGTTGTCTAATACTGACCAACCAACTAAAAGCGTCACGGTAGTAGGCAAACTGACATATGATCAGTAGGATTTCGTCAGCACTAGGAAAGAACATCATCTCACATTTGACAGGTGCCGGCAAAACGCACTTTAACCAAACATTCTCAGATTTCTGCTCAACGAGTTTAGAAGATCCCACATTTTGTCAGCGTCTTCATCTAGCAGGATAATATCAGCTGGATACTCCAAGTCAACTAAATGACCTCCAGGGAGTAGATCAACTTTTGTGAATTCAGGCCTATAAAACATCCTATGAGAATGGTCAGATTCGCAGTCATTCGTCAAAACTCATAAACTTCCACTCCTTTGTACATCATTTTACGGCCGGAATATACTCATTCACTTTCCTCCAGCTTTTTCTGTTTTTTTCTATTGAGAACACCGCTACACTAATATCAGTAGGCTTGAATAATTCATATCCCAAAAGCAATTCGTCTGTCATAATTATGAAGTGTTTCTACCAGCTCACTTCTTCCTGTGAAGTTGGCTACACAGACGAAACACAGTGTCGAATCGAAATCCACCCGTAGCAACCTTGCACACATCTATGCAGTAGGTAATGAGTCACATCCATTGAATAAGAGCTAATGATACTACTACCTGGCTGCGCAAACCTTGGTAGGTGGAGCAGGGTTCGAACCGGTGAGCAATTCAACCAATGGTTGAAAGTAATTTGCCTGAACCAATCAGCCAGAGTTCGAAAGTATGTGTTCTATCCAAATGCATCTCTGAACAATATCCGATATGACTGTCTGAGGGAGAGTGTATGCCGATCCAACAGGTCGATTCTTGAACATCGGATTAGCTCTGGTCACCATGCTCCCACTAGAAGCTTCCTTCAAAGTTATTTATAAAGTAAAATAAAACATTTCGAAGAGAGTGTGGACTCATCACCTGAACATAGCAGAAGGTTGGTCTCTGTCTCCGAGCGAGGTACATCCAACTTTTAATTTTACCTTGGATACGTTCTCCCAATGACTTCTTCCACTTTATTTAACATTGTAATTTTCATTCTCTTTGTTGCACTCAGTAAATTTTGATTTTCAATAGGACTGTCCTAATTTTCTAAATAGTTTTGTTAGTTCGCAGGCTATTACGCAACCAACTTGTGATTTCAGAAACAATTACTTACATTCAAAAACAGACAGGCAGACAGATGAAATCAACGTAGAACCCCGCACATAAGAACATTTGTCTAACTACCCATATTTCACAGTGCGCAATACATATCTGCGCACCTGAGTTGACTAAGGTTCAAAACATCTTACACTGACTTGCCTTCCTTGTCGAGTATCCTTCACTTGACCCCGAAATTAATAATATGGTGATCTCATCATACGTGAGCAATGCTATGAAGACACCCTGTGATCAAATCTCTCTCTTTTACTTTCAACGACTATGTCTCACAGATGTATAACAAGACAGAAAGACACGCAACGCAGTATGCACGTCCTTTAATTGATAATCGGATATACTTCCTTCACTCATGCTGGTAAAGAATCTTTGTTGGAATGAAACTGTACTGTTTGTTACTGTCTCACTATGCATGGCTATTGATTTGTTAGGGGAATTTACCCTGGGGTGAAAGATGGTTATTTTTCTTCCTAAGTAGATTGTCGATTGAGTCTATATCCACATATCTGCTGACTGACTTTTCGTTCGAATTCTATGCTTCTAGAAATTCTCTTTCAGCTTTTGAACCTACTCCTTGGAAGATTTCCAGATTTTCTCAGTCGGATTTGGGATCATGACTACCTGAGTGCATTGAAACTAAAGAGGTTGCGTTATGTCGTCTTATACTGTTAGTCGGTGTTCATGAATTCTTTTAGCAATCCGACGGCTACACTAGACAAGTCAACGCAACGTTGTGAATAATCTTTATAATCCTGTCTTCCTTTGGAAACGGATCTTTTGGCTTGGACGACATACTGTGTAGTAATTTTGTTGGTTTGTGTTCTACTCTAATTTCGAGTAGAAGAAGCAGTCAGTTGGCAGTTTGTGAGATAACCTTGATAAAGGGTAGCGTAACGCGCCCTCCACTGTCCTCATAAACACTGTTTAATAAAGTTGGGTGGTTAATCATTAGCTTTGAAAGCTTGATAAAGGTATCTCACTTCGGCGTTCCATGTGTTTTGGGTCTTGAGAATAGTGCCTGTGCACAACATTTCTTATGAACTGTAGGATGATTACCGTTTCAGTTGGAAATTTGATAAATATCCCTGTGTAGTTTTGCTGTACACCTGATTTTGTATTGCGCTGATAAGGACTCCTATTTAACTTAGTTATCAACGTAATAATGGGCATAACCTTAGGTGAATCTAACTTCACAGAGTTTGACCGACTCTCTGGATGTCAGTTGTTTGACTTGAGGTATGCAGATGAGATTTTCCTAATAGTTGAAAACGCTGACAAAATGCAGGACCTTCTGAACGCATTGAACGAAATTTGAGTATATTTGGTATGCGTTTCCTCGACTCTGGTTAAATGTAAGATGATTCTCCAGGACTGATCTGCTACAAGTTCACCCAGTTTGATAGAGAGTGAAGTGGTGAGATGTGTAGAACACTTCACTTACTTGGGGGGTTGTTGCTTCAGCTGAAACAGACTGGTTTCTGAAGAAATCTCAGCTCGGATACATAGGGCCCGTTTTACATTTGCGAAACTGTGTCGTCTGTGGCGCTGACTGGTGAGATATCCCGACTACCATCCAAAGGACGAGTATACTGCACTGCAGTTCGTCCCGTTCTGTTATACGATTGTGAGACATGACCGTTAACAGTAGAAGACATGGAGTGGTTACAGGGTTTTCATCATAGGTATCTTCATAGCATTGCTCGCATTTGGGGGAATCAATGTATGAGCAATGTTGAAGCCAGGCGAAGGGTACTACACAAGTCGATTGATGAGGTTGTGAACTTTAGCCGATTGAAATGGTTTGGACAAGTACTACGCATGTTGAGTCATCGCCTACCTCAACATGCCATGCTAGCTAGGGAAGTTGGATTAGGTTGTTAGAGGTTTCAGCGTGGCCAGACGAAGACGTGGCACCAATCGATGAAGTCACTTACTGTTGGTCTGATTTGTGTGGCGTGATTAAAACTTTGTGGTTGTAGTCCTTGAGATGAAACAAATCATTGGTTAAGAAGTCTTGTATATTTGCACTAACTGCTATCTTCAAATTGTTTATTCTCTTACACACCTCTGTCTACTTTGATATTTGTCTGTCTGATGAGGACATAAGAGAATAGAATTCCCATGTTAGCTTCCTCCTCTTCCATAAAGTGAATTCCTTCAAATGTTTGGTTGATTACTTTGCACAATTTCACATTGAGAAACATTTTCCACCAAGCTGACCGAAGGTTGAAGAGGTCAAGGTGTGTGATAAAAATGTTCTTTCCCACAACTTACAGTTGGGAAACACCCGTGGTCAATATAAACACTACACAAAATATTCGTGTAACATACGAATAGGCTCCACTTCACTTATGAAGTTAGTCTTACACCATACCCGTAAGCATATAAACAATCTATCCACTCACCAAAATTCGTCTATGTATAAATCGTAGGTAGAGTTCTGAGCATGTGATGATCTGTAGCAGTTCAACAATCACCGGTTCAATGACCAATATACGATCAAGTCCTGTATCATTTGTTGGATCAGCAAGTCTATCTTTGTTATTATTACTATTATTATTATTATGATAATTATTAGACTGTAAAGGTGTATCATATCTTTTGTTGTATAACAAACAGTGATTATTCCACTTCTTAATCATTGAACACAATTCATCAAGACGATGATGATTTACGAAACGTTCAATTATACATTTGATATACTGATCAACAACAGATTGAATGGAGGATACCAGTTCAAATATATTGCCTGGACCTTGAAAAAATAAATAATAAATTGAGAAGCAGACAGACAGAAACAATTACGTTGTGAATAAAAACTGAATGACTTTGAAGGCCACCCTGGCAACAACTGAAATGACCAACTTAACTTCTTTATTTTATGAAAATCTGCCTTCCGAGCCGAAATGGAGAAATCTAATTGGTTATCTCGATCGTTGTTAGGGTGGCCTTTAAAGTCCCCCTACAAATTCATAGGCTTATTAGTTAGTAATTTTCCAAAGCACATGCCCATCGATTCACTTCAAACGTTGGCCTTGAACATATGATTATGCCAACCGCGTTTCGTTGTTTCAATTCACCCTCACAAGATGAATCAATCACTTGACCTGGCCTACCCACGCAAACTCGTACAAAAGGATAGACAGTGCCTTGGGCTTCTTCTTCGGCGTATAAATATTCTTGTCAGCCTGAGGCATCTGCATACATATGCACGACTGGATTCATTTCCTAACTACAACGCACCATAATTCATACAAATTGAAACAATTGATTTCACTGAAGTGACAAGGTGGTGCTTTGTATTTTGGTGTTAGTGAGGACAACATACCTACGTTGGATAACTACTGATAGCGAAATCGTTTACTTCGATCCAATCACACAAGAAACTAGGACCCAAGTTTCGTGCTTGTCGGTACTAATCAGCAAAGTGTATCTGTACTCTCAAGGGAACTGATATCCCCTTTGAGAGATTCGAACTAGTATCACCCAGTGTTACAGTAGACAAGCTAGTGAATAACGCTCTAGCGTCTTAAGTGATTGATTTTGGGTTCAACTCTGAGTGAGAATATCATCATTTCATTCAAGAAGGCCATAAGACAAAAAGAGTGACCAATAAAAAGTGGGAAATTCTACGGTCTCGTAGCTCAGTTGGTAAAGCATCGGGTTGGAAATCCAGTGGTCACTGGTTTGAATCCTACTACGGTCCGGATTTTCCGTTCACCCTTCAATCATCATCCAGTATCAACACTAATCTTTCAAACCACAGCTATCTCAGATAGTCAAAATGATAATTCTACAACAATCATAAAAATTTATCACCATGAACGGGAGAAATGTGAAGGAAGTTGTCTCTTTCACCTAACTAGACAAGGAAGCATCGTTTCAACTACAGGTGGAACGTATGAGGATGTCAAAGCAGCCAAGATCAAAAAGGCAGCATTACAGGCCTTCCTTCATTAACCTGAAAACAGTGTGGAGATCTACTATACTCTGCATAAAGCGTGACAAATATCCGGATTTTCAACACCAACATCAAGTAAGGCAGTACTTCTATGTGATGGATGACTGAGAGACTTGGCGCGTCACGAAAAGCATTTCCAACAAACCACATACATACATCACATGAACAGCTGCCGCCTACTCTCACTCGATACTGACACTGAAGATCGGATCAGATGGCCAGAATAATAAGAATAAGCAACAAGGAACTCTGACTGGCTGTCAACGAACCAACCAAGAAGGTATCGCTCAACAAATAAGATTAGGAAGAAAGTGGAGATGGATTGGACTGGACTGGACTGGACTGGACATACACTGAGAAAGCCGATTGGGGACATCACGCGCCAGGCCAGGTCAGGCCAGGCCGTCGAGTGAAATCCAGAGAGGGGAAGACGAGTTGGGTGTCCGAGGTGAGAGTGACATGGAGGAAGTCGTCTAAGGAAGAAATGAAAGCTTGTGTGCAATCGTGGAGCCAGGTTGAAAATACGGAAGATAAGAGAGTGAAATGGCGACGTGCTGCTGAAGTCCTATGTTCCACTAGGAACCCAAGGGAAGAATAATAATAATAAACAGTAAAATTATACGAACAACTTGTGGCAAAAAATATCAACTCTCAGTATTGTATGCATAAGGTATCCACATTCAACTCACCACAGTATGTTTCCACATAGATTGAATTTGTTTTCAGTGTATCAGCGACAAATTCTAGAATCTCTGTTATCATATTAGCCCATACAAAATCAGTTGGCTGTGCAGTAGTAGTAGTAGTAGTTGGCGGTGGTGGTGGTGACTTGAAAAATGTTAACAATGTATCACATTTACCAGAAATATTTGAACAAAGATGGGCAGCGAAACGTTCAATGCCTTGATTAGATTCACCCAATAGGAAAAATATTTTTAACAAGTGTACAATATTCTTTTCATCATGTTTTGCAATAGATTCATCAAATTTTTCAATTGTCTTCTTTACAAGTATTTGTCGACAATTGTTTAGCGTTGTCAAAGGATTGTTATCATCATCATTATCTAAAAGATAAGAAGAATTCATCATTTTTAGTTTTCGATGGATTTGATCGTTGGTGGCGGTCACAGAATGAGAGGTTAAGGAAGGCATAAGAGGCTTAATATTGGTATCAGGAGGTGAAAGCAAGGGAGGAGATACAATTGATCATCATCATTATTATCAACATAGGACCAGGCATTACTGCGTAACGGCCGAGTTGCCACACATCACATCAGTTCATCAAGTAGAAAGGTAGTGAGGTGAAGGATGAAGATAAGTGAATGCAGTCAAAAGAAATATAAATTAAAAGAAGTAAGGAAAGAGGAGTGACAAAATGGTGAGATTCGGTATAGCGTTGTTAAGATGAGTAAAATGTATGTATAAATCTGCACCACTGACTTCAATTCTCAGCCACATCACCTAGAGTCTCCAACCACTGCTTCCTCTTGTCCCACGGACCCCAACCACCTAGTCTGCATCGACCCACATGGCTTAAACCAACAGTCAGAGACTTCATACATTGGTGCCATGTTTTAGTCTGGCCACCTCGAGCCTTTTTCCAGCCTGGACCCATCCCAGCCAACATTATAAGACAAGGCAATCGGTGACTAGGCATACGTAGTACGTGTCCCAACCATCTCAGTCGATGAAGGTTCATAGCGTCGTCAACTGATTTACCTCTTCTCCCCAAAACTCTACACCTGAGCCTGACTTCTGCCTTACTCACGTGGTGACACCACGGAATACGACCTATTCTTCAAAGGCAACGGTAGTCAAACACCTGAAGCCAGCCTTATCATGTCTTCCACCTTCAATGGTGGTGTTTCACAGTCATAGAGTAGAACAGAGCGGACTGCTGTGCAGGTGCAGTACACGCGACCCTTAATAGACAAACGAATATCACGGCGGCGCCATAGATGGCGTAAGTTGGCAAACCCCAGCCGAACCTTTTGTATTCGTACAGGAATTTCATCGGCCACTGACCCATCACATCTGACCTCACTTTCCAGGTAAGTGAAGTGGTCGACACACTCAACCACTTCATTCTCTATCGTTAGCCGCGGTACCGCTGAAGACCAGTCCTGGAGCGAAAATTTGCATTTGGGTGGTGAAAATCACATCCCAAACATTCTCCAATTCCCACTCAAAGTGTTCAGAAGACTCTGCATCTTGTCAGCGTCTTCACCTAACAGGACTATGTCATCTGCATATTCTAGATCTAAAGAAAATTCACCTGTGATTGGGTCAACGTCTGTGTAATTAGGTGACGGGAGGGAAACCTCCATAAGAATATCTATGATAAAATTGAATAAGAATGGAGATAGCGGGCATCCTTCACGGATACCACTTGATGAGTATAGCTCCCTGGACAACTCGTCATAGGCTCTAACATGCCCACAAGTGTTCGAGTAAAGAGCCTTCAATAACGTGATGTACTTACTAGGCACGCCTTTCAGTGAGACATTGCCATAAGACTTCTCGATCAACGGAGTCAAATGCCGCTGCCTTCAGGCCGAGAAATACAGCTATTGTCGGGCGTCTGTAAGCATGCCTATGTTCCAGGACCTGGCGCAGTGTGAATATTTGGTCGATACACCCGCAGCCAGGTCTAAAGCCTGCCTGGTTTTCTCGGGCTTGGTGTTCCCGAGCTCCACTAAGGCGTCGGAGAATTATAGAACCTAAGATCTTACACACTATGTTCCTCAGGCTGATTCCTCTGTGGTTATCACAAGAGGACTTCTCGCCTTTCTTAACGACTGGGATGATGAGTGACTTAGACCAGTCACAGGGGATCGTATTTGATTCCCATATACTAGTTAACACTTCCGTTAACTTGACTAAGAGCACTCTACCACCATTCTTGTATACCTCAGCAGGTAGTCCGTCCGGTCCTGCTGCCCTTACTCCTTTCAGGTTACCTACAACTTTCTCAACTTCTCCTGGTGTTGGGGGGCCTATCTCTATGTCCCATTCAGGATCCGACTGGATAGCGGGCAACGTAATCGTGGCTGGAGGCCACTTAAAATGCTTCTCCAAGTGTTCTGCCCATCGTTCCAGTCGTCTCCCCTGCGAGTGAATTGCAGATCCGTCATTCTCCGCTATAGCCTCACTAACTTTTGTTGACCTTTTCTCCCCAGTCTCCTTAATAAGTCTAAATAACTGTCTACTGTTACCAATCGCCGCTGCCTTTTCCATCTCTTTAGCCTTTGCTGCCTACCACTGTTTGCCGTCGTTGCGTAGACTTTTTCTCAGTCTACTTTTAAGCTGAGCCCGCTCTTCATTGTACTCAGAGCCTGCAGGGATGCGTTCACGTGCATCCATTAGTTCGGAAGATACAATTGAAGGGGCAATAGGCTATGTTTGATTGAGTCCTATGTACTACGGGACGGTTGACACTTCCCGGCTGCCCAAACCATGAAACACTATTTCTTCTTAAGATATCTGAAAGAAAATAATAAATTTGTATGACCACAGAACCTATGGGACAACTGCTTGAGGCCAGTTGCCACACGGTTTCTTTCGGGTTGTTGTTTTGAGGTTTGGTCGTTCTAACACCGAACAGAGAAGACCCACACACTGGCACCAGAAGACCGTAGGAAAGGGGGAGTGTGTTATTTTGGCGGCCGACCTTTTCTACACCTAACCCACCACCACCACCACTCCCCATTGGGAAGACATCAACGTGGTACTGCTAGTCATCCAAGGGAAACGCCATACCGTTGTCACATCCCGTCCAGCTACCAGCAGTACGACTTCACCCACAGTCCCCTATCATAGTGTAGTAATTTACACTGCAACGCTAACTGCTTTCTGTCTTATCACTATCAAACAGACCTTTCTGGCATGTTAGGACATCATATGAACAAGCGTTCCCCCATCAGCGTAGCTCGCCGAGTCAATTGTGATATACAAGCCAGACCACCACGTACATGCGTCAGCTTTCGACCGGGTTCATTAACTTAGGTGGCTGAAACATGTGTTACGCATCTCCAGTCACCGTCTGCCTCGTTGCTTAACGTTAGCTAAAGCAGGTTACGGTTGGAGAAAGGTTAGAAACGCGTAGACTAAGGCGTGCCATGAGTCTATACAGTCTCTGAGTGTTGGGTCTGGGCAGTGTACGGGAATGTAGACTTCTCGGTTGCGGTGCGAATAACAACCGAAATCGGCAGTTGAAATATTCAGGCAATTCAGTTCACAATCGACCGCAATAGCACAGACCTACCAAGGTATTATCTTTTATTTCAATCGTTATACTTTGTTTTCTTCTTCCTCTCTTCCTTTGTCTCTATCTACTACTTGTGGTTATTCGCTTCCCTATTTCCTCATTTTCCCTCCTTTTTACTTCCTATCTTGATGTGTTGAGATGAGGTGTGCGGCAACTCACATAGTTACGCAGTAATTTCAGATCGCATGTTGACGATGACTGACTGATGTAGTGGTTCCACGAAGGCACTTACCTGGGGTCACTCTCTAACCTTGTTACATCTACTTTTATGGGTCATGTCTCACACTCGCATAACACTTTACTCATCCTTTAACAGTCGGCGGTCAAAGATGGTGTAAGTTGGCAAATTCCACGTAAGCACATGCTGAGTGAGTTTTTTTAAGGTGACAAACACATGTGATGAATAAAAATGAATGGGAAGAATGAAAATGCTAGGTCAGCAATAATATACCACTTACCTGCAGCAATTAATCGTTTAACAAGAGATATCACTTCTTTTTCCATTCCTAGGTAAGTATACACATAACCCGCTGCCTGACTAAAATGCATAAAGCCACACACAGATTTACCTCGTCCAGTTTACAGTCGACAAGACAACCTTTAACGCCAAGTGCAGAATTCTTTAGTGTAATTATGTGATTCAGTTTCTCTACACACTTGAGTACATTATTCTAGAGAGAAGAAAACACGAAGTTAGGTAACAATCGAGAGACAAACAAACGAATAAAGACTTATTGCCTGGTTGGTGACTAGCAGTGAAATCCAGGACGCACATGTTTCGTCCCATTCAGGACTAGTCAGTTGGATGTACCTGCACCCCAGTGAGGAGTGATGTTTCCACTGAGACTCGAATACAGTATCCATCGCGCTTCAAACATCAAAGCGTTATATACTAAGCGTGTGGGGCTTTGGCGTTTGGGTGCTGAGTTTGAGTCCCAGTGGGAATACCATCAGTCCTCATTATGGTACAAGTACATCCATCTGACGAATCCCGGGCCAAATGAAACGCGCATTCTGGACTCCATACGTACCCACCAAGCATATGACTAAGTGGTGACATCCGACAGCACCTAGGCGTCCACATAAGAGGCTGCTTGTCAAAAGGGGTCTAGTAAATTGACCCAACTTAGCAACGAGAGATTACAAGTACCAAACAAGAAAAAGTAGAAAACTAACTTTCACAAAATCCAATTGTTCCACTTTTTCGCTGAGCTCTAAAGCAAGTTTTGATGCACAACTGACCAACTTCGAAGAACTCTCTGCATTTCTCTGTAATTTATAGAAATCCGGTCTGTACAACAATAATTCAATTGAATTTAGTTTACATATATACGCATACATACATGAAAGAATTGATGTTTTTCAACTTCTCCTCAATTTCATTTTTTCTCGCCAGTATATTTTTCACTTCATTTGATACATTTGCCTTTAGAAACAGAGAACTATTTAACAACTGTAATTGAACCCAGCATACCTTAGCACTGTTCGACTTTTCTACGAAATCATTAAGCTCAGACAAATTGTTTATGCTACAAACACCAGAGTCCATGATTCTCTTTTCTTGTGTGTGATGCTGCCCATAAGACTTGTGGGTAATTTTAAAGATGCCTCTGCAGGATGAAAAAAAAAACACAAGGACAAATATAAGCATCAAATGATCTAAAAAGAAGGACGGAATGACAAATAATCACATTTATAAACACTATATTGATTGATAAATAGAGTGAGCAATGTTATACGACTGTGAGACGAAACATGGCTGATAAAAGATATGAAGCGATTACAGGGTTTCGATCTCAGATGTTTTCGTAGCATTGCTCACGTTTGGTGGAATCACCGTGTGAGCAATGTTGAGGTTAGGGCAAGGGTACTAGGCAAGACAGGCAAGTTGATTAATGAGGTTGTAAACGTTATTCGATTGAGATGGTTTGGACAAGTACTACGCATACCGAGCCCACCACCGACCTAGCTAGGGGAAGTTAGATTAGGTTGGAAAAGGATTCGGGGTGACCAGACGAAGACGTGACACCAATCGGTGAAGTCTCTGGTTGTTGATCTGAGTCATGTGAGAAGTAGGCTGCCTGGCTGGGGTCCTCGAAAAGAATGGAATCAATGGTTGAGGAGTTTTGGTGACAAGACTAAACACCGGTCGAGGTGGCGTAGTTGCATTTACTCCCTCGCATATTCTAAAGCTTGAATATTCGCACTAGCCACTATCTTCAAATTGTTTATTCTCTACCACAGCTCTGTCTACTTCGATATCATTCTTTTTTCCACCTCTTCTTTGTATACTACTGTGACGTGTGGTAATTTCAGTCTATTCACTTGTGTGCGAGGTTCTACACTGATTGTGTGTTTATCTGCCTGTTGTATTTCAAGGTTATATTCATCAGTCTTTATAAACATCCAAACTAAATTACTGTCTAGTAATCATTGGTGACATACTTCGAGATGAAATGTTCTGGAGTTCTAATGAGACCTATGAGGTCAGCCAAGTCAGAAATGAAGTGAATGCTCGCTTATGACATAGTTGTGCTATATCGCGAATTGAATCACGTCATAAACAAAGCCAAAGGATTGAAGTAGCACACTCAAAGAGTCAGCACTAAATTGATGACTGACCGATCTAATCTGTCCTATAAGCACTATATTGGAACGACAGTAGATAATTAAAACCTTGCAGATAAGTACATTGGTTTAAATTACCACATTTCAAGCCAAAATGCAAAGAAATGGTGGGAGAAAAAGTCATACCAAAGTATTCAAGTGTGTGAAAGGATAAAAGATTTAAGGAAGAATATTAGAAGAAGTAAAAATCAAAAATCTGTGCTGTTACAATTAAAAGGACCAGATCCAGGCAGTCTGTACCTCCTTAAATAGCTCAGACCAGGTGTCCGAGACTTTATGGGCCGATGCCAGGTCTTGGTGTGCTCACTTTGAGCTTTCATCCAACCTAATTCTTGTTCAACCAACAATCCACATCGAAGTAGGCAGTGGCTCGGCAAGTGCAAAATATGTTGAAGCAACCTCATTCGACGACTACTTAACTTACCTGGGAAGTTATATCAGCCTTGGTGACTCATTAACCGACAAAATTTCTGCATGTATACAAAAAGCTCTCTTGTCCTTTGATATTTGTGGTGTAGCTGTGATATCCAGTTACCTATTAAGAGTTGCATGTACTGTGTTGCAGTTTGTTCTACTCCACAATATGATTGTGAAAAACGCTTATTAAAGGCAGAATACATCAGAAGACAACATGAGTCAAATCACTGTTCACTGCAGAGCATAGGCCATGTGTCGTGGTGTCACCGCGTCTGCAATGCAGAAGTTACGTGTAGATTTTACACAGCCAGCTTCATCGGCTTAGCTGGCTGAAGCCCTAACCTTAAACGATAAATCTCTATAAGCTCTCACACGACTGTGAGTACCCGCAGTGAGCATCGAATAGCAATACATAATTGTTCCATACTCCCTTTCCATCAGACAATTCCGCAACACCTAGTCGATATCATCAAATTCTGCCTTAATTTTAAAAATATGACAACTAAGGGGTGCCGGAAATATGCCAGGGTTTCAGAATCCGTCAAGGGACGAATGTTTGACTGACGCATTCTCGTGAATGTCTGAAACCTCTCGATTTTCCGAATTTGTGGTCCTGAAGATACAGTTAGACGTCGAATAACTATGAACCCAAAGATGTTGGATATGTCTAAATGACTCACTTATAGCTGTTACAAAAAGAATCCTCTCCTTTCACAAAAACTAGTGATCAGTGAAGTAGACCGATCTGAAGACTACCTTTGATTCCTATACACAACTTCTATCTCCAACAAAACAAAATCAAAGTAGAACCTCGCACAGAAGTACATCAGTTCAAGTTGCAACACTTCATAGTAATATACAAGGAACAAGCGGATAGAAAAAGACTGATATCAAGGAAGGTGAATCGGAGGAATTTAAAAATTAAAACTAGTCGAAATGTTCAGGCTTTAGATGTCAAAGAGCGAATACATCTGCACCATTGTGACCGATTTTCCTATCGTCTCAGAGACCCCAATCACACACCTTCCTAAACGGCTCAGACCAATAGTTAGGCATTTCATCGAATGGTGTGTGCTGTTTTAGTCTCGCCACCCTGAACTCTCTTCCAAACTAATGCAGCTAGCCCTAGCATGACACGTCAAGGAGGGTGGTGGATCAGCATGAGCAGTGCATATCCAAGCCACCTTCATTACTGTACCTAATAGTTAACACCTACAACCATCCTTAAAATCTTCGGGTGATAAACTGACAGGTCTTGCTACTTTGCATCCTTCCAAGTTCAAAACAGCCTTCTCAACTTTGAAGACAGTTGGAGGACCGAAATCTACGTCCAAATCGAGTTCGGCCTGCACACAGGTCAACCGAAGTGGCTGTAGGCCATTTTAACTGTCGCCAAGTGTTTCGCTAAACGTTCAAGTCACCTGTCTCGACAGTTTGTCATGAACGACGATGGCTTCACTAACCATCGTATTCCTCCAACAAGTATTCTTAGTAAAGCAAAGTAACTAGCGAGTATTGCCTAATGCTTTGCTAGCCCTTGCGCTCCTTAAAGCCAGAGGGGTGACCGGATAATAGCATTCCGCAACCCAAACAATGACCTTGGGACTAAAGCCTTACTTTTTAATCCTCAAGGATACATCCTGAAAACGCAGGAGAATCAACTCAGCCTGACCCCGCGCTTCACACATAAAGTGGTCAATGACCGAAACTCCTTACCCCAGGAAGATGCATCAGCACTTTTATGGTAGACGTTACTGAAAGAACTTGGTTTTTGTAGGAAAATTTGGTGCGAGTATTAACACACCACATGCCCTATTTTAATAAGTCAAGACCAGATAGAAAATTGAAACGTTATTTTTACCGACTTAAAAGCAAAATTAGCAGCTGGGTTAATCAGAAACTCTCAAAATTTAAGAAAAATCCCTTGACAGATAGCGGCACAATTTCCCCTTAAACCCAATTACTATTTACCAGAAAGACTGGCCACTTCTCGACTCAGCCTTGACAACCACAAGTGTAGCGTAACGTTCGAAGCTGACACAAGCTTCAGCTTGATGTCTAGAAATGAGAAACAATGGTTTCTTCTATTCTACTTCTGTCTTAATCCAATACATTCCGTGTTTGGAAGGTCCGGTTGTTTTCACGGATTAGAGAGAGCTGAAATGACAGAGATCATTAATTATTATTATTTATCCCTTGAGTTTCATTTCCTCGCACGATCTCCTCCATATAACCCTCAGCTTGGACGCCCAACTCGTCGCTTCCCATCGGAGTTCCACTCGAGCAACTGGCCTGACGCGTGATGTCCCCAGCCGGCCTTCTCAGTATGTGCCCAATCCATCTCCACTTCCTTCTAGTGCATATTTGTTAGGTGATAGGTTCTTGGTTGGTTCGTTCCCAGAGTTCCTTGTTGCTTATTCTTATTATTCTGGCCATCTGATCTTCAGTAACGAGCCGGCGTAAGCAGTTGTTGATGAATCTTTGTAGTTTATTGGGAATCCCTTTCGTAACGCGCCAAGTCTCTGAACCATACAGAAGCACTGACTTGACGTTGGTGTTAATGTTGTTCCGGATGTTGTTCGACATGCTGAGAGGAGTGCAGAAGATCTGCACACTGGTTTCAGGCTAATGAACGCCTATCTTGCTGTTTTTCCGATCCTGGCTGTCTTTGACGTCCTCGTCTGTGCCGCCGCCTGTAGTTGAAACGATGCTGCCAGGTCAGGTAGGTGAAAGAGACTACTTCCTTTAAGTTCCTCCCGTTAGTGGTGATTGGTGCTTGGTGTTGACACTGTTGTTGGTTGGGCATCTTCATTACTTCTGTCTCCTTTACATTCACTTACAGTCCCGTCTTCTTTCGCTGCCTCGCCTCATCTGCCAACTTGTTAGTTTTCGCCTGTAGATCTTCGAGTTTGTGCTATATTAGACACGAGTCATCGGCGAAATCCAAGTCTTCTGGGATCTTTTCCCCTGTCCAGCGCACCTCCCTCTTCCCACCCCCCACTGTTTGCTGCATGGTCCAGTCGACCACAATCAGGAAGATCATGGGTGATAGTAGGTGGCAGCCTTGTTTCACTCCTGTCTTCACTTCAAAAGCATTACTGAGCTTCCCATTGTGAATTACTTGGCTGGTATGTGGCATCTTCATATAGTTGTTGAATGAGGCTGATAAAGGTTTGCGGTATTCCGTAGTAGTGAAGCAGTTTCCAAATTACCTCTCGGTAGACGCTGTCAAAGGCCTTCTCAAAGTCGATGAAGTTGAGGTTGAGTTGACTGCCATTCTATACTGTGTTCTATGATGATGCGTAGTGTAGTGTTGCAATTTGGTCTGCACATGATTTGTACTTCCTGAAGGCAGCCTGCCTGTTCCGGTCGTAGTTTTGAATCCAGTGCATCTTTAAGCCTCTCCAGGATGATGCGACTCAATATTTTGCTTGAGGTGGACAGTAGAGTGATTCCGCGCCAGTTCTTGCAAACACTTAGGTCTCTCTTCTTCGGGAGTTTGACAAGGTAACCCTTCTTCCAATCACTAGGTACCTTTCCTTTCTTCCACACCTTCTGCAATAGTGGTGTGAGCATCTCTGCTGTTGTCTCTGTGTCTGTTCTCAGTGCTTCTGGTGGGATCCCATCTGGTCCTGCTGCTTTCCCAAATTTCAGTAGCTTTATGGCGTTCAGGACTTCCATTTTTGTTGGAGGATCTATGTTCACTTGTAGTTCTGTGGCTGGGATGCAGGTGATATTTCTGGACGAAGTGTGGGTGGTGGTGGTGGTCGATTCAAGAGCTTTTTGAAGTGGTCAGCCCATTGTTTCCTTTGTTTCTCTTCTTTGCTAATTAGATTTCCTTCATCATCTTTTATTGGTTTCATCTGTGTTGATCTCTTCCCAGATAGTAACCTGGTTATTTGATACAATGTTGTCAGGTCTCTGTCTCTCCTACCTGCAGCCTGTTCTGCTTCACTTGCCAGTGTGTAGTAGAAGTGTGTTTTGTCTTTGCGTGCACTCTTCTTCACTTCTTTGTCCAGTGTAGTGTTTTATACATTGTACTCAGTTCCTCTTGTCGTTGAGCATCCTTGCACTGCACTGGTTTATCTTCTGTTTCACCATCCTCCTCTCCCTGATCTATCAGCTTCCATGTATCCGTCGAGATCCATTCCTTGTCTTCTTTCTTCTTCCTTCCTAATACTGTTGTGCAGGTTTCTTTCCACGTCTCTTTCAAAGACTTCCAGTGTTCTTCCACACAGGTTCCTTCAGGGATGTTGCTCAATATCTCCCATTTTGTCTTGATGTCTGGCTGCCGTGAAGATTTCCTTTGTAGTTTCATCCTTCAGTTTCCGAGTGTTGTACTTGAACTGTGGTCGATCACCAGCTCTCTTGAATTGAAGGCTTTCAACTTGATTTTGGAGGTAGGTTCCTTGCACTAGACAGTGAGTGGTGTGAACCTACATCTGCTCCTCTTCTTGACCCCGTGTCAAGTAGGCTGCGTCTCCATTTTCTTGAGATTGAAATGAAGTCGATCTGACTTTTAGTGTGTCTGGTGTCTGGTGAAATCCATGTCGGTTTGTGGATATCCTTGTGCTTGGACATACTGCCTGACTCCAATCACCAAATCGTTGAATGTACAGAATTCTGCAAACAATTCTCCATTCTCGTTCATCACCTCACCGAGCGCTTCTCGACCCATGGTTAGTTCTCTTCCTGTGTTGTCTGCTCCCAGTTTGGCATTCATGTCGCTCATTAGAATGAGTTTTGATATCGCCAACTTGAGTGGTGTCTTGTCCAGTGTTGATTGCAGTTGTCTGTAGAATTTTTCCTTCTTCTCTTGCTCTGCATTATTTGTAGGTGCATAGCGTAGCATTGTATGATTATGACCTTCCTTCCTTTGGAGTTGAACCTTGCTGTCATGTACCTGATCCTGGAGGAGATTGGTTCCCACTGCATGAGAGACAGCCTTCGATGCTCTTCAATGGGACATCATGATAGCCACTCTGTAACTCAGTGTGCTCGTGGTTGTCGTCTGTGTGACAATATCGGAGTAGATTACTGAATCTCCAGTTGACAGTTAAGGTCGTTAAGCAACCAATTAATTAGATTGATATAGGATGTATTGCTATCCATGGTTTGTAAGACGACAGGTGGCTTCTTGTATGCAGTCAGTCTGCATCAAAAAGCCTTATAAATGCGTCAAACCTCCTTTCGAAATCATCAAGAGGGGACTGTGACAACTTCTTTCGGAAGGTAGTTTTACAGTTCATTTGCTCTAACTACGAATGAGTTAGCGCGGAAAATAGAGATTGACTCTCGTGTTCTAATCTAAAAGGATCACCTCTTAGGTGGTGTTTCTGATTAAAGTTTCAGAGCGATAGGTTAAGATAAAGAGGGTTATGGTTTATATGATTCACTGCAACCAAATCCTCTCTGGTCCTTCTATGTTGTACCAGGTACAGCTTGAGATCAACTGAGAGTTCCAGATAAGGTTTGCTCAGTAACCTTATCACTTTCTTTACAGCTCTTCCGTGAACCTGTTCAGCTGTAGCAATGTCCTTCTTCAAGTATGGGGATTTGGCTAGTGAACTTTCCTCTAGACGAGAAGAAATAAATTATCCGAACACTGTAATGGAACGGATTTAGACCTCCTGGAATTCCAGACGAACCCTAGTACACTATGTGCTCTGTTGGCCATGAGACGACAATGAAGAGATGCCCCAAGTATGTCATTTACGGAAACATCTAGATCTTTTCTTTTTTTGTTCGTGTTTGTACCTGTTCGATTTGCGGTTATACAGTGATCCTCTTACAGGACCAAGACATCCTTTGAACAGTGTATCTCTCTCCAACTCTTAAGATCATCACCGCAGAATAGTAAGTAAGAACTCTGGCTAGCTGGAAAGTCATAAGTGAAGCAAGGAAAAGTATTGGACCAAGAAGGGAACCCTCGAGCATCCAACTCATCACGGAAAACCATTTACATAGGGGGGTGGCCCATCGTGACTGATTGCAACCGGTGGCGACCCATAATCAAGTGACCAACTTCCTGTGTTCCTCAATGAGCCGAAGATTTTTAATCAGGATACTACTAACAAGCTTGCCAAAGGCTTTAGAAAATTCGAGTAACTCTAAACGAATGGGCCTTTTTTGCTCAACGGAGAGACTAACCTCTCCATGCTGTCAAAAAATTGGCGCCTCGTCAACACTTGGGTAAAATCTCCTTGTTGACAGTCAGTTGGGATTGAGTTCCTGAGTAAGTAACGACGGGATGAAGTATTTGCTACCCATTTCACAACCTTTGCAGCCGAATAGGCCAAGAAGATAGATCTGTTGTTAGAGGTAAGTAGTTCATTACCAACTTCATATACTGGGACGATAGCCACAAGTTTCCATCCAGAGAGTAGTTTGCTTTCTGGAAACTGATGACTGAAGGGGCTTTGTGGTGGCCCAGTTAGAACATTGGGACACTCCTGGAGTACTCTCGGGTGAGTGTCGTCTGTTGCTGGGAGTTTGTTAGAACTTAGGCTCCCTACACTTCCCCTACACAAAAGGCTCATTCTATAAGACCTAACCCCGTTTGCATTATGGGTAGACGCTTGGTTTGTAGCTGTCCCTTCTACCTGATACAAACTGCTTCGAAATTCCTGAGCTAGGAAGCTAGCCACCTCACAGTTAGTCTGACGGATCTCTGAACTACTAAGCTACTGTGTACTGAATGAAACGTCACCCCTCTTTTTTATCAGAGTATGATGCACCATAAGTCCCTTCAGTGTTCCACACAGATGTGTCTGGTAATTCACCCTGTTACTTCCAAATTTTGATGCACATCTTTTACGGATGTCCACTCGCTCGTGATGTTAGAAACCTCCGAATGACTCCCAGCTGCCTGTCTAAGTCGCATAAGCCTACGGCTGCTTGATTTAAGCCAAAAAAGCGGGTCTTTTCTCTTCTTCATGGAATGAGAGGAGTGTTCTTATTCATTGTCTGAAGTATCTCCCAATCCGTGCCCATTCAGGCA